TGGTATTGTACGATAATATTACGTGTTGACCGTAAAACAGAACCTACAGGACAGTATAAATACAATATTAGAAATCGTATTTTAATTTGAATTATTTTGTGTAATCAATAATAATATGCGAGGGAAAAATGTAAAAACGAAAAATGTGTAGAAGAAATGCTCAGCATCATAGTTGCCTAGTATACTAAGTTGAAATATTCACTGCGATAAACTTAATAAAGTCATTGCATTCATAATATCGTGAGACCAGCAAACAAAATCTGATTCGATATTGTTTTGTTTTTGTGCACTTCTATTATAGGCGTAGTACAAACGGAAGATTAATCGAATTTTATAATATATTAATTTTTTTATTATGTTTACATTAGGCAGATATAGTCCATACGTAATTTATTTTATCGATAAATCATTAGGATGGCATGTAGTAAAGCAAAATATTGCAATTGTTTACTGCGTAATATTAAATAATACTAAAATCCTAAAAGATACCGCGGACAAATTATTTATTGTCTAAATATCATAAACATTTCTAAAGTGATGTCAGAAAATTGACTCGCAGTAGATCTTGAAAATTATACTTTTTATGATATTGCACCGAAAATCCGAGGTTTAAAATAAGATAATATATGCTACAATGGTAAATATAACAGTATCACAATCACGGGGATATGAAAGGGGTATCTGCGTGTCAAATTCGCTCCTTGACATTTGTTTTTTTTATAGTTAAGTAGAGAAATGAATGATGTGGCTCCGAAGTCAAGAAGATAGTAAATCTGTTATTATAAATTGTATACTTTGTATGTTATTAATATTTGTAATCCTATCTACAAGTTATTTATTGTCTTATTTAAATGTAAGACAATAATATACTTTAATAACCTTTTCTTAACTCCCCTTGCCCTCTTGAAAATTTGTCTTAGCTAATAAGTCCGTAACTTCTCTTCTGTACACTTTTCAAAAGTTGTTTCTCCTCCTCCTCCCGAAGACCTAGCCAAATTTACGGAACACAAACAATTTCAGCATTATTCATAGAAAATATAGTTCAATAATATTTACATTGAAAATTTTGGTAAAAAATGAAAAATGAAATATAAGTACAAATATCCAAGAGAGACTAAAGGGCCTATTTTATTACTAACGATGATTATTATAGGGACTTTGTATAAAAAAATAGATAATCGTATAAAAACCAAATCACAAAACTCTTATTGATTCCTCACTATTATAATACCAATAACAACAAAAAAATCCTTTCTTTTCCTAAGACGAATGAAAAATTACACGTGATATACCATATTGGAAAACAAACTGAACAACTGTTTGTAACTATCCACCAAAAAAATACAAAAATTCAACAAAGTCATATCGAAATATTTGCACTATAAAAATGTCGGATGAATATTGAACATTAATTTACACGCGTATATTTATTTATTTATTTCAGATATTACTGTGTTTATTAACATTTGGTAATATTTCATAATGGTTTAATAAATACAATATACATACTATTATGCATATGTACTTAAACTATGTTTCCTGTGTTCCTGAAAACAATTAGTTAGCATCCTCCATCTCCCATTTCAAATTCATAGATCTACATTACTGAAAATAATCAATAACCATTATAAATTATAATTTCCGAACAGCGGAATCAAATACAGAAGAAACAAAAAGTGTTGAGAATGCTGGTGGGTGTGTTTTAAGAAGAATGTCGGAAGGGATGATATACAGATTAATTTAATTCATGTTAGTGGTATAAACGATTCCGTTAGATCAGTAATATAATGGAAACCACACAGAAAAATACTTCGGGGAGGACCCAGGAAAAAATGGATCGATCTAGTTGAAAAGTACCTAAGGAATTGATATTCCTTAGATTCGTGGAGAGAAATGGTGTATGTATAACAGGGATTAGTTGCGCAATATTATATTGGAGACAAAAATTCTTAGAGACTTGTAAAGGCCAATAGAAGAAGAAGAAAACGACGAAGGTGATAAACCATTGTAAACGAAAAACGATTCTAAGCAGAATTTTATATTAGTCGTAACTGTTTCCTTATTGTTGACAAAATAATCCAGAAATCAACAACAATTCTATGAAAAATTGTTAGTTTTTCCCATTTATTAAAAAAACCACAAAGAATATCAAAAATGACTACACCATAGTATGGACCAACTAGATTTACATTTGTACATACAATTTCCAACAAAGTTTTTGATTAGACCAAGATTTCTGGTAGACAATTTATTAATCGACATACACAAAACAAAAAGAACGGATACTGCTGATGCACGATACACTACTGTTGTAGATGGGAAGTTAGGAAGGTAGGATACATAATGTTATTTAATTTATACCTGTAAGCAACTTTATCATTGCGAACGAAAAACAATTCTGAGCAAACGCGCCCGCAGGATAAAATCCCACCCGGGGCAAAATGTAAAAACATTTTATTCTAGAAATATATTATATCATTATAGTAAAATAATATGTCATTATGTGTAACAAAATTACATACAGATGAAAATCCCAGGAGGGCAACAGCCTTTTTTTCCGTTGATTCTAAGGGAAGTTACATGATTTGAAATGTCGTAATATTTACGATTTCATTCAAAATTCGATCTATAACAATTGTAGGAAAAAAAATAACTAAATTACAGTCTGGTTTTGTTTTTAATCACTAAGTACCACTTATAATTAACCTCCTGTTAAATGTTCATGTATTTCTGTTAAGTCAAACAATGATATTCACATAATACCCTACCAAATAAAAACTACGTAAAAAACTTACAAACATAAAATGCCTATAAATAGCTCAAAAATCGCTCAAATACCGCTTTTCTATAACTATTTATAGTAAATATAAGATTCCAGTCAAAATGTCAAGTCTCTACGAATATTTAAAATTTAAAATCGTAGATTTGATTATCAACGAGCACAGTGGACGTTTTTAAACAGCATCAGAACAGAACAAGATAGGTGCAACGAGTTATTGCATAAATATAATATGCTTGAATTCCCTCTCTGCGTCTTTGGTGAAATACAACCAATTTGACATATAATTAATGAGTGCCCAACAACTAAATGTATTCATTTATAAATTTCATTTACTATGGTGGAATCGAAAAACTGTATAAAGGTGGCCCAGATGTTCTGAAATAACTGACAAACTTAGAAATAAGACTGTGATCACTAGTAGTGTACTAGTGTAGTTCTTTAGATAATATAAAAGAAATAGTCGTTTTAAGTTTTAGTTTTTATTTTATTTTATTCAATAGGTAAGAAAAATGTTCGGTTAATTTCATGTGTTTTTAGTATAGTTTATTAGTTATTCATTTAATTACTGTTAATATCTTTTATTAAGTCGTCTATACTTTGTAAATCGATAATATCTATAGTTACCTAACTTATAAAATAAAAGTAACCACTGTCGATGGTTATAAACTAAATAAAAATAAAAAAAGACAAAATATAAAATAATAAAATCATTAGTTCCGTAAACTTTTCCATCCTTGAAACTTTTTATTTCGGTTTTGTTCAGTTGTTAAGAAAACTACACGGAAAATCAAAAAAAAACGAATTCCTCATTCACCAACTAAATTAAAAACGCAACAAAAAAGGTTTCTTATTGTGGTTCTTCTGTTGGAGAAATATTTATGGTTGAAAACGTGAATAGTAAAATTTTAAAAACAATGAAAACGCAACGCTGTAAATTTATCAGTTTCCATGATGTTTATGATCATTGGGCACGTTCGTAAGGTCGAAGATTCATTAATATTAATAGTTGATAACGGTATATTTTTTTCGTTCTAATTTTTTTTTTTTCCCGACGATTCCCTCGACCAAACGTTTGTATGTACCGAGTGATTCATTTAAGTGGGCACACTCATTATCTCGGAAAATATTAACTTTTTGCGGAATTTGTTTTCTAAAACATTTAAGAAACAACCAGCTCTACAATTTTATATTTATGTTATTTTTTATAACCCTTATTTTTGGAGGTAAAATCACTACCTACTTTTGATTTTCAAACGGCAACCTATATTAAAAATTCCATAAATAGATGGAATATTAGTTAAAATCAACTTGAGTGTTGAAATGTATATATCAGTCAAGCCGCCGACGAGATATTTCACTTTTAATTATAGGTTGGAGGAGAGTAGTGGTGCACTAATAACACGTCGCGCGCCGTACCCCCACACAAATGACACTCCACTACTCTCCTGCAACCCAAACTTAAAAATGAAATATCTCGTCAACGGATCAACGGAAATCAAAGATTTCAACACTCAAATTGATTTTAACTAAACTCCATATATTTGTGGACTTTTTAATATAGGTTGCCATTTGAAAATCAAAATTAGGTAGTGGTTTTACCCCCAAAAATAAGGGTGACAAAAAATAACATAAATATAACATTGTAGAGCAGCTTATTTCTAAAATGTTCTAGAAGACTAATTCTGGAAAAAGTTAATGCTTTTCGAAAGAACGAGTGTATCCACTTTAATAAATCACCTGGTACATAATAGATACTTTCAATTGTTTTTTTCTTCAATCCGATTTACAATATTTCAAGCATAATCATCGAAATTCGTGAAAACGATAGGTAGGCACCCAATTGAATACTACGCATTTAAGATACTGTTATTTACCAATATTTGTTTGTTTTTTTGTCGTCGTCGTCGTCGTCATTATCATTGTTATAAATCGAATTGTAATGGTTCCCAATTATTCGAAAATAAAATTAACATTATTATTACAATACGCGCGAAATAAGTAATTTATTATATTACAATATTTATGCACGACGGCCGATATTATTGTAACGCACAGCTATAAACGTACAACCACTGCGCGGTGTACAATAATAATAATTGTTATTATTACCATCCAATTAAGCCTCCACTAATCATTCGGAGATAACCGCGATGATAACAAACACGCGTACACCGGTTACCGGCGCTATAAAAGGCGAACGGCCGAACGCGTTCCGATCATTCTGTCGACGAACGCCAATAAAGTCCGTTCTGTTATCCGTCCGACAACGTTGATATTAAACAATATTGTCATTGTTATACCTGCCCGCGCGGCGTCCACGACCGATCGCAACCATGAAAAACTGGAAAACCGTCTCGCTGTTCGTGTGCGTGTTCGCGTTCGTCCGGGAATTCCGGCCCATCGAACCGTTTTACTCGGCGTACATGACGAGCCCGGCCATAAACATAACTCTGACCCAGGTGAATATAATAATAACGATAACGATGAGCGATACGAGCGTCAGATCGTTTTGCGTTACCGTGTTACGTGTTTTGGCAATTGGACGTCACTGATTACCGTTGTTGTCGTAACAATTTATAGGCGACCAGGGAAGTCTATTCGGTGGGAGCGTACTCGTGTTTCGTGCTGGTCATTATCGTGTTCCTGGTCACCGATTATCTCAGGTACAAGCCCGTGTTGATAATGGACGGCATATGCGGCATGATAACTTACGGCAGCATTACCGGACACCATCCGAGCTTGTTGAAAATGCAGGTAAACCCGCTAAACCGCCCCCCCCCGTCCGTCCCGCGGTGGATTCGCCGCTGATCGAAACCCGTTCGCGCGAAAAAATCCATTACTGTACGCCACCACCGCGTCCGCGCGATGTGATTGCAGATCGGGCAGATAGTCTACGGGTTTTTCTTCTCGTCGGAAGTGGCGTCATTCGGTTACCTGTACGCCATGACGGACGACAAGCGTTACTTTCAACGGATCACCGGACAAGCCAGGGCGGCGTGCCTGTTCGGCAAGTTCTTTTCGTCCGCGTTGGCCCAGACGATCAGCCTCGTCAACGGCTCCGTCCCGTACATCGAACTGGTGTATCTGAGCATATTCGGTAGGTGACCGCGCGATCGCACAATATTTATATTACCCAGGATTTAACGCGGACGCAAAATATCAGGCGAGACCCGTTTCACCCGAATACCCGTTGCGCGGGTGACTTAAAGAAATTAACTTGCCATTCGTTAACGACGGTTGAAACGCGTAGAAAACGATTTAAACATCGCGAATCACCAATTATTTTTTGCGGTATTTTATTGATATTCGTAGCGATGAAATTACCCTCCCCCCGCCGAGAAAACACCAAGGAAAAACTTTTATACTATAGATCTGTTATAACCAATAACCGGGTATGAGTTTGTTGAAAAACGCGCGTAGAAATTTAGGAAAAATAATAATAACCATTTGTATTTTGTGACGATTTTTTAAAATAATTTTCTATGCGTTTCGACTGTTATTCGAAAACTATTGCCAACTCACTTGATTAAAATATGCCTGAAATTTATTCGGGCGAAATGGTAAAGCCCAAAATATTATATGGTTAAAAAAAAAAACAAATAATTACGTTCAGTATATTATAATACGACGGGTACGGGGAAAAAACGAGAAAAGTCATTTTTTTTTCCTCCCCGAAACGGCAAATCGGTATCGAACAATAATTTGACGCGTCTTTTTTCGGACCGGCGAAAAAACCGGATTAGTCGAATGTTGCCGAAATGAGCGCCAAAAATTTAGGCATTAGGCTTACTGGAAAAACAAAAATACACAGACAAGCCGACTGAAAATAATCCGAACATAATTCGATCCGAACATAAGTAAAAAAAAAAAAAATTGTTACGTGTTGAAAAGTGATTTTTCCGAGGTTTTTTTTTCCTCGTACCCTTCGTATATGTATACATACCTACGTATAATAAACACATTTAGCGACGTGCAGAAAAGGGGTCATCGGGAGGCGGTCGCCTCTGACTTTTTTTTAAAAGGTCTACTTGTATGAACATTTTTAAGAAAGCGTAAAAAGCCCGGCGTCAAATCTCCGTGTATATTAGCCAATGGGCGGTTCGTGAATTCGTCGGTACAGGTGGGCGGGCATTGGAATATATACTCGCCTCTGAAAATATTAATTGAGTTCGCCACACCACTGGGTACACTATCCGTCTACGTACCGACGATCGTTTAATTTTAATTTTTTTTCCCCTCCGGACAGGCATGTTCTTCTCGTCCGTATGGGCTTTTATAATGCCCACCGTAAACAAAAGCGTGTACTTCCATAACGCCGAGCTGACAGACGAGCCCAGCACGTCGGCAGCGGCGGTGCCGAATTACTCGTCGACGTCAAAAGTGAAAACGGCTACGGTCGCGACCGTCGAATCTCAGCTGCCTGCGAAAAAAAAAGTAATCGATTTTTAATTTTCGTCGTCATTTATAACATTACGCGCATTAGGTAATACTGTCGGGTGTATAGATACGGCCGGAGAACCCGGACGAAATATACAGTGAAAACTCCTCTTCATAACGAAACTCATTTTAACGAAAAACTCTATGTAACGCGAAAATCACTGAATACAACGGTTGATTTGCTTTGCGACCCATACATTAGTTGTTTAACCTTCTCTGCTGCGAAAACTTTTCACAGCAAATGAAATCTCTTGGCAGGGACGGATCCAGGCATATCATTACTGATATTACTATATTTGAATCGCAGATATGCATGGTAATATAATATATTATACACATAATAATGTGGGCATAAATCTGTGGGCTGTGATTCCAATATTGTTATTCAACACCGCAAGAGTGTGCGCTACGTCGCCACCAAAGTTGATCCCGGACAATCTCACAAATAGATTGTGATCGACTAAACTATTATCGTATACGATAATTAGAACCGTAAACACCGCAGTAATTGTATTCGCGTTGTAAAAGAAAACTGTTCCCCCCCCCCACACACACACACATACGCACACAAATCTTTACTCTGGATCCGTGCCCGTCTCTCAAGTCTCTTAAGGCCCCTCGAGATTCGTCATAGAGAGTTTTCACTGGTAGACGTTAAAAAACGCGTTGCCCGGACTCTCCGGATACCACCCCTATATTGTTTGCGTTCCTATATACAATGAATCGGTGTATGACATTATGGTTATAAATAACGTTAACTCGATAATTACGTTGTGCCGCAGGAAGACGTAGAGACCGTGGAAAAAGTGAACGACAAAACGCTCGGCGACGTGTTGCGTTACCTGTGGCGAGATTTTAAACGGTCGTATTCCGACCCGTACGTCAGAAAACTCAGCCTGTGGTGGGCCGTCGCATTCGGAGGTTACGTACAGGTGCCGTACGCGCTTTTTTTATCGTGTATTTCATTTTCAAACACCACCACTACCACCCCCACCGCCCCACAGCTGTATTTATAATAATTCCTTGATCGTTGCCGTTGCAGGTGTACACGTACATAAACGTTTTATACACCGACATAATACTGAACATGGACGACACATCGCATTTCACGCTGTTCAACGGTGCAGCCGAATCGATGAACACTCTATTAGGTGAGCAAAGACTTTATAAATACTATACGTACTTATATAATATGTAGGGCGGGTAATTGTGGCTGGTAATTTTTTATTTTATTCGTGAACGCTGCAAGCTATTTGAAATTTGACGAGTCGGCGAGGTTATTGGTGTTCGGGCGCGTCGCGGGCGGACCGCAATCGGAAGCGGTCGAAAATCGTAACGGAAATAAACGTGGGCGGAAAGAGGATGGGGGGAAAGAGGCGGTTAGATGCGATTTTTGAACGGCGCACGGGCTGCAACGAGGGGGTTCGGGTCAAATGGAAGTTTAGAATTAGCCGACCCCGAATAGTCAGGACGGAGACGGAGGAGAAGACAAGGAAGAAACGGCCGTAGAAAAATTTCCTGGAAAACGCGATTACTGATTATTCATTCCGTACAACGATCTTGAGGAGGGTTTGAAACTCGGATTGCGGTTTAGTTTTGGATTCAGTTCAATGACCGCGGATCGATTAAATCTAACACGAATAGAAAAAATTTCTGAAGACGGTCGCTGGCATCGAATCCCGCCCCCAATCGCTTCACTTATCACGTGTAAAAAAAAAGAAAAAAAAAGTGTTATTGTAAAACGTTGAATCCGTTTGTTTTCTTTTCTTTTTGTTTAAAAAATACTATTTATTCGTGTACATATTTTTTACAGGTGGTATTGCCGCGTACTATATCGGTAAACTCGAACTGAACTGGTTCAGGGTAGGAGACTCGTTTTTGGCCGCCGGTTCCATACTGGTCGGGCTGGCGCTGCTTGGTTGTTTTTACATTCGGATTATATGGTTCATTTACGGCTTTTACATATGTTACGGATGCCTTTACCAAACGATGTTGACCGTGGCCGAGTAAATAACATTTTGCATACGATTTTATTACGGAAAAATACGTTTATCGGGAAAAATCAAAAAATGACCTCCCTAAAGTACCTCCTCGGTCAGATTTCCTTTCAGAAAAAATGCTATTATGGCTAACCGGAGCAACATTTCTGGAAGAAAAGTTGTCCTCAAAAAACCAAAATAAACATTGTAAAACCAATATTCGACGGTAAAATAAAGGTTTATATTTAACGTCCGAAAGATAAATTTTAAAATTTAATCATTCGATTAATATTGTGGAAAATATACGCATTATTCGATAATTTATGTGACAATTTCAATCGACAATAATTTTTGTTTTTTTATTCGAAATCATAATTGTCAAAAAAAAAAAAAAATAATAATGATAAAAAAGACGAGCGACACCGTAATTAATCGGAATAACGGGTTATATTTGAAAACATATAATTCGCAAAAAAAAAAAAATATTTCGAATTTTCGCGAGGCCCATTAATATTTTCATAACATAATATTACTCAATGTCGTATGACCGGTGTAAGTTGTGTATTTCTTATCGAAAACGTATACTTTTTTTTTGTTTTTTTAATTAACTTGACTGAAAAGCGTCGCAAGTTTAGTAGTAAATATACCTGTAGTAGATAGGTAGGTAGGGAATAATATTTTTATTATTATTAATATTATTTATTTTTATTTTTTTCGATAACTCTCCTATTATAGATCTGAAGTGGCGAAACGTTGCGGCAGAGAGAGTTACGGCCTTGTGATCGGATTTAATTCGTTTATTGCCCTGTTTATACACACGATAATCACTTACGGCATCATTCAAGGGCATTTTATCTCGGTTACGACGGCACAACAGGTAATATATTGTTGTTACCTATATGAAATTAACCGATCGGATTTCCAAAAAAAAAATAATGATAAAAAATACAAGCTATTTACGAGTTATAGATACTCGTACGTAATATTATATCGATGCGTTAACTTGCCGAGGTTCCCAAACTTTTTTTTTTTTTACTCGCCGCACCCTAAAGTATTTTCTAAAAATCCAGTGGCACCCTATCATACAATACTACATTATAGTGCAGTATATCGTGTATATATATTTTTATTTTATTACTTCAGTTTTCTCATAACTAGACGTAACCAAACATATTCACGCACACACACACGCTGGGGCGGATCTAAGAAATAGATAGGGGAGGGGCTGAAAAAAAAATCCTTATCTTATATACTTTAAAATTGTATTTTCAATACGGGTTATAATTCACATAATATGCTGTATACAAGTCGTATTTTTTTAAGTACCTACACGTGCGTAGGGAGAGTATTCCGTCCCGATAGCCCCCTCTCCTCGTATTCGACCCTGTACACATATAATCGTATTATATTTTACAAAAATTATAAATTAATTTAAATTTTACAACGAAGTAGCCAGATTAATATTATTTGTAGGTACAAAAACAAAACTAAGATAAAGCTACAGGCATTAGGTTTTTTGTCGTGAACGAGTTGTAGCGTGATCGTTTTGTAATAGTCCTACACATAAAGAACAAACCACAATACGAAAATAAAAATAGATCTTATGTAATCTGTGTTATTACACGTACATCAAAACAGTGTTTTTCAACTTTGTTTTTTTTAAAAACGAGGCACACTGTGCTCTTTACATAATTTCCGGTGTACCGCTATACAGGGAACGCTCGCGGTACACCTGCAATTGGGAACCTCTGCGTTAACTCGTCGCATACTCACTATACAGTGTAGGCGCATCACCCATACGGTCAATGTGTTTTTGATAATGTTTTACGCTTTGATTGTCTACAGTTTTTGATTTACTCCGTTTACTATTCGGTGCTTGGATTACTGTTCCTATTTTTCGCGGTCAAAAGTTATTTCTCGCCCTCGACCGACAGCGCAACAACAATTATCGCTAAATAAGCTATAAAGATTCGTGTTTTTTTTTTTTTTTTCATACATACCTAATTGTACACATAATATAGGGTACCTATACAATCTATACATTTACGTTTGTCCACACATCATCTCAGAAAAATGCGGCGACATTCTATATGTGTTTTATTCGGTAAATATCGATTCGTATGTTAGTAATTATATTAATAGGTCTCGGAAGTCGTATAGGAGGTAAAAATTTGACAAAATATGCACGCACGAAAAAAACCGAAAATATATTATATGCAAACTCTGTGCGTTCAAATATGCGCACAAAAGGATTAAAAATATGCGAAAAATTGAATAACTGAGCGAAAATATAATCAAAATTTAAAAAAAAAAAAAAAAAAATGTCTACGCTCAAAGGCGATAAATACTTAAATAAACGAGTTACATAATATTGCATTTTTATATTCAATATTATTTAAAATACATATACACGGGTTATAAACGAAAAAAAATCATAATGCATAATATGCGCGTAAAAATCGATAAAATACATAGGCGCACATAGGGAGGTGCTAGGGGCTGTTTTGCACCCCCGGGCTTCAAATTAGCACGCCCAGTTTACCTAAGTAATTTATTTCACTATTTCACCAATCATTTGTAAATTATTGTGGTTTATTGGTTTTTGATTCAACTTAGTTCACGAATTCACGAAATTATAACGCAAAAATGTGAAGTGTCGAATAGAAAATTAAATCTTGTATGACATTAATTAGTAATTATAGATTATGAGTTTTTTTTTTTTTTTCATATTTTGAATACATAATACATTATGTCAGCGATCTTATCTTGTATAGACTGTACAGTTTAATTGCTTAATAAAAATAAACAGAATGCGATTAAATTAACATATGTTATACAATTTCAACGTTATAATTAATTATACAGATGTAAAGAATTGAAGTTTTGATTAATCATATTTTTATAAAAATTTAAAATTATCGCAATGTAGTCTGTTGTAGTATTAGGGGGGAGCGTGTGTACCATAAATTAGTCTAGCGTTCCTTAAATCCACGCACACAATGTGCGCCTATGATGAATTATGCATATTTTTGCTAAAATCGACGAAACGCGCAAAATATGCATTTTGAATGTTCGGTTTTTTTTTTTTGTTTTTTTCTACTTTTCTACTCTATCCGAACGGATTTCTCGGTGCGCTACAAATCGAAAGCATTGGACAAAACAATACGCAATATTCCTATATAATACTACTTCCGAGCCCTGTGCAATATTATTAAACGTATCTGTAAACGTTAAATATTTAAAAATGTATAATCGTATGTATAATAACGAAACGAGGTATAAACGAGATAAGTATTAATTATTGTTATTACTATTATTAATATTATTATTTTTTTTTTTTTTTAACCGCATACAAATTAAACAACACTACCTAATAATATTCGTCCGAAACACGTTGCCTACATTGATGTAATTAGTATTACAGTATATTTAATACATACGAATCGCGTATATAATTATTATTCGATATAATATGTATTTGCAGTCGTTTTTAAGTGCGTGTTAAACGTAGTGTTCGATATGGAATATCTATCGCCTCGCCATTAAAATATTATGCATTTAAGAGTAACTGTGTAATATAATAATATATTTATTAGGTACATATTATAAAGAGTAGGTACTTTAGATTTATCTTTAAAGGACGTTTTATTTTGTTTTCGATGTATGCAATTATTTTTACATTCAGAAATCGCTAATCCACTGTTATAAAACGGAATCGGAATTATTAGGAGGCCGTGATACCCGCATGCGCCGGCTCCGTCTTCGTTAGCGCGGACATATAGAGCTGTTGATATTGAGCTGCTGGTGTTTTTTTCTTTCTCTTTAGTTATAGGTAAGGCTAAGAAGATCGTAGACACCTGCGTCCATCCAGACCTCTCAAACCCATTCCACCCTTCCCATTGATGAATCCGCCTTACAAACGTGCAGGATATACGACATGACAAATTTGCGTTCGACGACGGGGGGGGNGGGGGGGGGGGGGGGACACGACTTTACGCGCCGTTAGTTATGATATCATAGCGCCTCCGTCGTCATCAATCGAAAAGTTAAAAACATTATCTGCGTGCGTACGTAGATTTTATTTTCTATAATTTCCCAGTAATAATAATTATGTGAAACGTCGCAATTTTAAAATGCTTCTACGTCGCCACACAATTAGAATATCGAAAATCGCCGACACGGTCGCTCAGACAATGTCCGTAGTTTGATACCCAGTCAATTCGTTCTAACATTAAAACTATAACAGCCCAAAGTTGTCCCTGCTGAACGCAAATTTACTGTGTCGTATATACGTTTCCAAGACGGAAATTATTTGACGTTTAACAAAAATTACTTCACCAAATTAAAAGACGATTTTTTACTATAATTATGCGGAGGATATATTATAATATACCCTACATTAGTATCTAATTCACAGACAATCTATGTCCGTAGTTGAGAAATGTTTTTTCGTCCCTTGTTAATATTAAATTATTAAATTAAAATAATAAAATATTGAAAAAAAAAAAAAAACAAACAATCTTTTTGTAGAAACATATAGTAAATATTCAAATACGATGAAATCTTTTCGACTGCCCCGCACGGTCGGCCGATCGCCTGCGTCTTTTTTTCGCTGCTTCACTCCCCTAACATTCCTCTTAATTCCCGTCACATACTTAAACATTAACATTAACACTTTAACTGTGACATTAGTATTTTTTTTATTTTTCCTGAAGTATTTGTACGGGTATGTTGTAATATGGATAACACCGTGTGAACGTATTAGCCCCACATCGTTGAGCGATTCCTTGTCGAATTATTGTACTCGCGTACTTGACGACTGTTTTTTAGTTTTTAGAATTTTTATTGAGTACTTTTATGGTGCGTACAGCACGCGGTGGCCGGCGCGGGGGGCAGGACAAACGTAAGGTGTTTCGCGCGCAATCTTTACGGCTGCACATTACACTGATGAACTGTCCAAGCAAAACCCCGGCGCCGGCACTGCGTACGTGTATTTTTTCTTTAGTATAGCTATTCGCTCGTTTGTTAATTATTGATTGTTTTTTGTTTTTTTTTTTTTTTTTTTCCGTGCGTTTATACTTGTACGCTGTTTTATGTTTGGCAACCAAACAACGGCCAATAGGTTATACTTACGATTTTTAACGGTACCTGTATGAATTAAATGTAAGATCTTATTTTTGTATTTCGCGATAAATATGTATTGCGTAGGTATTATTATTGTTATAATTGTATTTTTTTTTTTTTTTTTTATTTCGAGAAATATACTATAGATTGTCGTTGAATAACGATTATTGTACACCTACAACGGTTTGTTTTTTTTTTATTATTATTTCACAGTTTATTTCAGGGTTTCGCCTTTTACCAAAAGGCCTTTTGGTGTTCCATCGATATTGCGTGCTACATGTAGGCAGACACGAATAACACAGTATGCACGTTCGTTCCGATCACATTTTTGAACACGACGAGATTCGCGCGCGCGGATGCAAACAATATAATGTGAACGTCCCCACGCGTTGTCCATAGCATTATTGCGTTGTCGTCATAATATCCTCCCGACCTCTCCAACGACCTATTCGACCGTTCCTCTTCAATATATTTAACAATACCTAACACGTACGACATTACCCGCATATTTGCAAACAAAATAACGCAAATAATAACAATAATCATTCGAAAACTCATCCTGATCGACACCATTCCCCTCCCCCCCTTCACCATCCGTCATGATGTACTGAACGTACCGAATTGAAATTTTACATTATATTTACATTAATCGTGGCGAATTTTCGCCGCGATTAATGTAAATATACCTAGGTGTGTAATATGCATAATGATCGTCCGATTTATTATTCATCACTAGTCATTCGAAATCATTCGTGTTTGCGTGTTCGAAAAACGTTATCATTTGCGACCACTATCGACGGTGGCGTGATTATATTTTCACGCACAACAAACGTTTGTTTCGAAACGGTACGCGCGACCACGACATTTATACGAACCGCGGTATAAATACGAACGCGGTACTATCGCAATGTATAATACCGAAATCGTCGTGCGCGCTGAAATTTTCAAACGAACGACGCTATAACGTGATTGTATCGTACGAATCGGAATACGTGGCGGGACCGCAGACGTATCAGCGGCAGCGGCCGTGGTCGGGACTCTGTACAAAAACACTATCGCGGCGAACAGAATATTATTTTATTCTCCTTGGAGAACTCGGTAGCGTACGGTTCTTATCGCACGCAACCGCGGTAATCCCGTAGCGTTGGAATTAACCACCCATTACCCACCGTAAACAATATTGCGAGTGTTTTATTATTTGCCTGCGTACTACCCGTCTGCGAACACCGCCGTCGATTCTATCGCTTTTCTATCTACGTCTACGGCTTCTTCTACCGCGGCATCATGTTTGTCCAAGTATCGGAGACAAACGACGGCGACAAGGAGGTAGTGGACTTGCCGTTGGAAAAAGACAATACCCTGTTGCTGTCCACTCTGAACGCCCAGTATCCGGACGCTTGCGGTTTGAAATACGTTGCGCCGGAAAACGGTCGTACGCGAGCATTGCGGCTCGCCGAAAACAAACTGCATCCGCCCAACGACGATGGGTGGGGCGAAATAGTGTACTTTTGTGCGTTCAACAAGGGTAAACTTTTGTTTTACATCGTTATAATATTACCAGTCTTAACTACATTTGTACATTTTACTGTCGATCGTTTAAATTTCACTCAATAGGACGTGTGTAATGCATTTTCATGCGTGGGTGCCTTATACCTAATGAAAAAGATTTCAGTCAATCGCTATCGTCTGAGGAACGGAGCCCCACTAACGGACTGTAACACCATAGTATCACAATCATCATTGTGAAAGTTTATGTCGCCTAAACGTTTCTAACTTGTACCTACCTACCCCTGTTACCGTTACAAACTCAACCTTTGACAATAGCTAATATTCATTATCACTATAATACCCGTGGCCGTTCGTTAAGCGTTTGACCTACCGGGTGTACCGTGATGTAATGTAATTTTTTGGCAAGTGTTTGTCTGTTGTATGTTCAAATTCATTTTTGAATATATTTGTATTAATGATGTAACACTTAATATTGTTTTATAATTGTTTCGTTTGATATCACTCGGGTATGTTTTTTTACTGCTCAATAACTAATTATTGTTCATAGGTATATATTTTGAAAGATAATTTGTAATAAATTTAATAATAATGATATAATAATTACATTTTTTCCCCAATAGGTCACACGCTAAACAAATGCCATTATAATTTTATACCTAACGTAATACATTTTTATATTTTCTACAGACTCATAGATTATGTATTGTTACTTTTTAGTATTTAATGCAAGTAAAGATACATATTTTAATACGTAACTGTGAGTCAAGTCAGAATATTATAATACGGTACCTAACTATTAACCTGTGATTATATTAAACATTTATGTGAACTGCCAATTATCTGTTATCTATCTACACAGGACGATCAATCTATCGCAAGACACTAATTATCTCGCAAGTTATTGATTTTTTTCTGAATTTGTTTTATAAAGCATATAAGAAACAAGTAGCTCTACAATTTTACATATATATGTTTTTATTTTTTCACCTTTATTTTGAGGGGTAAAACCACTACTTGCTATTAATTTTCAAATGGCAACACATATTATAAAGTCCATAAATAGATGAGATGTATCAATTAAAATTAATTACGGTTTTGAGATTTTTGATTTCCGTTGATCCGTTGACAAGATATTCCACTTTTAAGGTTGAGTTGGGAGTGAATAATAACGCATTATTAAAACACCACGGGCCGTGCCGCCACATAAATGATGCTCCACTTTTCTCCTCTGACTCAAACTTAAAAGTAGAATACCTTGTCAACGAATTAACGGAAATAAAAAAATCTCAAAACTATAATTTATTTTAATTAATACCCCATCTATACATGGAATTTTTAATATATGTTTCCATTTAAAAAGTAAAAGTAAGTAGTGGTTTTACCCCTAAAAATAAGGGTAAAAAAAATAACATAAATGTAAAATTGTAAAACTGCTTGTTTCTTAAAATATGTTCTTAGTAACAAATTCCGTAAAAAGTTATTACTTTTCGGGATAATGCGTGTCTTATGATAAATTGATCACTGTATAAATATATTTCATAAACAAGTTTGATGTGTTTAATAGATTAATGTGATATATTATGATTATATATTTGTACTATTTTATAATGTTGAGGATTGATAAAGTTAAATGGCAAATGATATGTGTGTCCAGATAATGGACAGAAAAGGAAATTGAACGAAGAATTTGAAAGTGATGTTGAGCGAGCAACCAAGGAACCCAAGTCTGAGGCAACATCAACTGCGTGGAAGAATCGTGATTTACTTGTGCTCGGGTTACCATGGAAAACAACTGATGAGGATTTAGAAAGTTACTTTAGTAAATACGGTGAACTGCGCATGGCACAAGTTAGTTGATAAAAATTCAAAACAGAAAGTGTTTGTAAATTAGGACATGTATGAATGTGATATAAAGTTTGTTCTTTATATTTGGATTATGAAAATATTATTTTAGAGTTTTACAAGACTTTTACATTTTAGCCCTTCATTTAATGTCTACCTAACTCAATTAAACACTTTTGAATCAAATGGTTTTATTTTATTTTAATGGAAAAGTCTGATTTTCAAAATTCCAGATTAAAAAAACAAGTGATGGTAGATCAAGAGGTTTTGGATTCATACGGTTCAAGGAACAAGAATCTCAAGTGCGATCAATGTTAGATTCTCATGTGATAAATGGAAGGCGGTGTGAAATTAAGATACCCAATATCAAGGTATTGATTTTACAAACTTTTATAAATATTAGATGTTTAATATGTTGTAAATTAATAATGAAATTTAAAAATCCATAAACTATAAGCATATCTATAATTATATGCTTACATAATAATTAGTAGTTTTATATTTAATACTTACACATTTTATTATATTGTCTATCTCTAAGGATAAAATTCTTGATTTGATAGGTGATCTATATAATGAAAAAAAAAAAGAAAATTAAATAATTATAGTAGTAATAATATTAAAAAATGATATTATGATTTAGTTAATCAAATAATTATTTAATATATAATTTTATGTAATTTAAATTCAATATTTTTAGTATTTAGTTAAATATTGATATTATGGAATAATTTATCTGAATGATTGCTATTTGAAATTGTCTAATGTTTATAGTATTTTATTTAATTATGTGTGGATAAAATTGTTTTGTTTTCTTAAACACAAAACACAAAATTTATTATAAGTTGTCTTTCTGGTACTTAAAGAATATTTATAATCTGTAGTCACATTTGATGACAATTTAAGAAACCATATACTATTTTTTTGATTTACATTAATAAAACATTTTTTGCTCGAGAATAGTAGAAAAGATATTTAAACAAACTTGGGTCAAAGTCTTTCGTTTACAATGAATTATTATTGTATGGAACTATTCTACCTTCCCAACATTCCACTTAACAAAGTGGCACGGGATACGAAGTATCTATATTTTTTTTTTTTTTTTTGTCAAATTTAGAAAACTATCTCTTGCCTTGAAAAATAATTAATCTTAATACCTACATACTGTTTTAATTCTAAATTTTAAATAATTGCTATTTGTTAAAAATGCTAAATAATTTAGTAAATAGAAAAATATTCCAAATTAATTTATAAAATAATCAACAATATTTATATTATATTATTTTTTTCTTCAAATTAAAATTTCAATTTTGAAATATTTAAATATATCTATCTTTTTTTTAGGATGCATTTATAAATGAAGCGCCAAAAAAAATATTTGTTGGTCAACTGATTGAAAGTATAACTCAAGATGATCTCGAAGAATATTTTAAGAAATTTGGAGATATTGTAGAAGTGTTTGTTCCTCGGCCTTTTAAAGGAATTGCCTTTGTATCATTTACCAAATCCGAGGCAGCTCTAGCCGCCCTTGATCAAGATCATACTATTAAAGATATTCGTCTTAGTGTATCTGTTGCTATGCCTAAAGACAAAGATCAAAGGTCACGTGGTAACCGTAATAGTGGTGGTGGCGGTGGTGGAAGTTCCTATAGTAGTCGTACGAGAGGAAGTCGAGATTCGTACAATAATCGTGATCAGCATTATGACAATGGAGGTTGGGATGATTATGATCGTGGCAGTTATTCAGACCGCAACAGCTATTCAGATCGTAACAGCTATTCAGATCGCGGTGGCTATTCAGATCGTTACAGAAACAATCGCTATGATAGAAAACCATTTGATAGTGGCAGATCTTACAACTCTGGACAAGTTTGGAGAAAAAATGATTATTCTGATTCGCAGTCTGTATCCCAGTCCAAAGATAATAATGGTCAGTTTGATCCGAATTTAGTTGCTGCTGTAGTTGAAAAGACAGTAAGAGGAGTAATTGGAAATATGAGTAAATATGATTGATGAGAACCATTTATTTTAATTTACTTTTTTTTTACATATATATTTACTATGAACTGTACTTTTTTTTACTAAAAGTGTAAGATTCTTTTTTTATATTTCACTATGTCTTTTAAATTGAACATTTTTATTATTATAAATATATATATTTATATTTCTCTTATTTAAAAATAAAAACTTAAATTTACCAAATATCACATTATACACGATAATTATGTGTTTTCAACCATTGACAAAAACATTGTAAACACAAAGCTAATAAACAGTTTTATTAAATTAGTTTCTGAAGTAAATTTTATTTTATACTTCAATCAATTTTATAATAAATGCATTAAATCATAAGATAAGTAAAATGTGTATTTAATTAATACATTTAAAAACGCAGACATATATATGAATCCGTATTTTTAACTATTATGATAATATATCTACCTACATAATTTTTTTATTTTAATATTGTTAGTTTAATTAATATAATGATAATGATTTAATCAATAAAAAAATTTAAACTATTGATACCTATCTCTCGTGTTATTAATATAAGAAAGTTCTTTTGGAATGAACTAGTTTAAATTTGTCTAATTGAAATAAGAGTAAATTATTCGTACATAGTGTTTCACAATGATCTGTTTCTTAAAATAACTTGTTCTATTCAATATTTTTCTAAATAATTAGTATGCCTTAGCGCTACAGTTGATATATATAAAACAAATTGGTAGGAGGGAACTAAAAAAAAATTCAAATAGTTATTTTGTAAAATACATTTAAAGAAAAAATTTTGATGGTTGAAACTTTTGTTTAGGTACTAAACTGCAGACTGTAGTCTTTTATTTTCTAAAAAAATTTAAAGTTTTGGAAATGTGAATATATTTGTGGATTATAGTCTATTGTAATATTTAATCAGTAGTCAGTAGCATTATATGATTTAACTCATGGAAAAGAAAATTGTCCTAAGATGTACTCTGACTACTGATTAAATATTATACTTGATGTTAAGATTCTTTAAAAAAACCTAAACATAGATTTGATAAATATCCTACAGTTACAAATTTACCTTTAAATCTTGATTGAAATTCTGAATTTATTGTTGGTCCATTGTTATCTAATGAATAACTTACGCTACCTTTAATTGTACTCGTCCTTCCAACATTATTAATTTTATCTAATATTTATCCATGTATTTTTAATTTTAATTTAAGAAAATAAAAACTGGCAAATTATTATCTAATTGAGCACTAGATTCAGCTGGATAATTAATAACATTATATTTGATAAATATTAAATGTTGCATGTTTAAAATTTAAGAAATTATCAAAAACATCAATATTTCAAAAGTGATATCTAATTAACGAAATCAAAAATTGAATGTAGTTGTCAGATAATATTTTATATTCCAATTTTATAATCGTAGAATTATACTTTTCATAAATCTTATCCATTTATTAGTAAAAAGTTTTATAATCTTTAATAAATTCAAAACATAAATGACCACACATAGGAAAATCTCCATAATTTTGAAATATTTTTGAAGTATATTTGAGATTATCTTTTCTTAAATAGTTAACAATTTCTTTAGGATGATTAGAATTTCTGTACAAATCAAAATACATATTTTAATGTCCTTGTTTTATCCAAGCACCCAATGTGGACCATTTTATTTTGAATTTTTTAAATTTAATATTCCATATTAATTGTCTAATGACTTTAAAGGTACTTACTTCATTTCTATTATCAACATTTGTTAATGGTTTGGTTTAATTTGTTTTTCTTTTTAATTCTTGAATCAATTTGTAAACTTCTAGTAATGATAACAATTTTTCCATCTCTTTTATAAGGAATTGTTTCCATTTCTTCAGTTGTCTTTGTGTTTAGTATCTATAATAGTATTTTCAATAACTGAATAATTAAAAAGAAAAGGAAGAAATCCACCTTCTTTAGTTTAATAATAATTTAAATGTATTCTTAATTCTTTATTTTCATGTTTCATTTTTTATAATTTATTAATTTGACATGGAGTTAAATAATATTTCTAATTACTATTTTCAATTTGACTACTAATCAATTCAACATTTTTTTTTTTTGAAAGATGAAGATATTTTATTCAAATGATTATCGTTTGGATTTAAATTCAATAAGAAAAATAAATAATAATATAATTTATATTAAAACCATAACCCGACTTCTTTCTATTTGCATTAAATTTTTAGTTGTTCAAGCTCCTGTTTTTTAACCTAAAGACACTTCTCGATCTAAAATTCTATACCATGCTTTTTTAAAATAACACCTAATCAGCTTTATGTCTAGATTTTGGATCTTTATGTTTTTCATTATAAAAATCATGTTTTATTACTACTTCATCTAATTTATTTTCTAGTTTCTTTAATTTTGTAAATGTCCAAGATAATTATAACCAGGCCAAATGCATTTCAAGCATTAATTTACAATTCAAAAAATTATTAACATGTCCAGATCCTTTTATCATTTTTTTTTTTGTCAACTTGTTACATATAAAATTAAATATTCTATTATTTATGGTAAATCAATATATATTTTTCCAACTCTTGACTAAGAAACTGAACAATAAATAATTTTTCATTATGAAAATTGTTATTTCTTGCTTTTTTACTAGCAGTAAAATATAATTTTTTTAATAAACCATTTATATTGTATAGGATTTTCTGTATTAGATCAGTGTTGTAAGTGACCATTTAACACTAGTTTCCAGAAGAACTTACAATCAAAGTGAGAAATAATGAACGTAATTTTTACAAGTAGGTATGTTTATTTTGACAAAAATAATCAAACACTTTTATTAGATTCATAAAGTCATCGGGTGTAAAGGAGCTTACAACAGATAATTCCAGACTGTTAAACAGACAGGCATTGTTGACAGCCGGTATTTATACCCTGAACCCCTCCTGGCTAGATTTGCTTGAGTAAAACTCATTTGCGTACATTTACCCATAATAGTTATAGTAGTAATAAACATCAATTATCAAATTACTCTTGTTGATTTATGGGTGACCTGGGTAATTTGATTAAAATTAAAAAAAAGAGTTAATACTGGGTACAGATGCCCAACGGTTGTAAGTGGAAAGTTGGGAAGGTAGAATAAATTTATTTAATTTATATCCGTTCGTCAATAATAACAGTAAATATTTTAATGTATTATAATATTGTTTTAATTATTAATTAATTAGAAGAATTTAATAGAAATATTATTTTTATGTTAAAATATTATATTACACAGTGTGTGGCGTGTGTCCCACTGTTTTCGACAGATTCTTCTAGGGCTGTTAATATTAAATTTTTTTCAATCGGTTTATCTTCGAATTGGACATTGATTTGGAGAAAAATAAAATTTTTATTTTTAATCCCTAAACACACAAAAAAAAAATAACTTTAATTATTCACTTTAGAAAATTTTCAAAATGGCAATTTTGTAAAAATTGTATTCAACAAATTTTAATTTATCACACATTTATATCCGATGAATAATTTCTTAGTTAGTTATAGCCGTTTTAATTTCTAGGAAATAGACGTGAAAACAATTAGTGTTCAATAAAATAATACTTTTATGCTATAAGGAATCACAATCAGCACGGTAATTATTTACCTTATATTTAGTATTAATTAGTTACATGCCTATTTTATAGAAATTAAAACAGCTATAAATAAGAAACTATTTATTAGATATGAATGTATGGTACATTAAAATTTAAAGAATAATTAATAAAAAAAAAAATAAAAAATAATTTTATATATTTGTATCTATTTTCTTTAATATTTGTTTAATATTGTACCGATTTTCCCAGTTTCCAAATATTTTTTCCGGTTTTTTTATATTTGCTGGAAAAACTTGGAAAAATCGAAAAATGGCCTCCTAAAGTAGTTAAAGTAGCTCCCCAATCAGATTTCTTTATAGAAAAAGTGCTATGATTGTAAAAAATTGTTGACAGAAAAAAAGATCGTAATATTTTTTTATTAATACCTACATTTCGTACATTTTCCTTTTTTGCGACATTGACATTTTTATAAAAAGCTTAAAAATGGCTCAAATGTTTTTCAAATTTGACCACGCCTAGAAAAGACAAATTTTAGTTTTCTATCAAAATTTCAAGTCTACGAATATTTTTAATTGAATTACAATAAACAACAAAATTGAAAAATAATAAAAGCATTAGTTTTGTAAATTTCCCGTTTTTCTTACGTTTTATTCTGGTTTTTCCCAGATATCTGGAAGGCATTTCCTTATAGAAATGGTGCCGCGCGTATATATCTGAGCAAGATTTCTGTTAGAATTGTTGTACACAGTATAAAAAAAAAAAAAAAATCATCTTAGTAAAACCAATACATTTTTCATTACACTCAGAATCAAAAATGTCATTCTTTTAAATGTAGGATTATTTTTATTTTTTATAAAAAATATCAATATTTTATAATATTCGTTTTAGATTCTGAGTGGAACGAGAAATTTATTGGTTTTACAATAATATTTACCTTTTATTTTATTTTTTCTGTGGACAACTTTTCTACTAGAAATTTTACTCCGATATACAGTTATAGCACTTGTTCTGAAAAGAAATTTGACTGGGGTTGTACTTTAGGGAACTCATTCTTTGATTTTCCCAGAAATAATCCCAATAAATGGGTAAACATGAGAAAATCAGAAAAAACGAGTAAATAAGTACAATATTAAACAAATATTATTAAAGGAAATATGCAATTATTTTATCCTAATATTACATGTGTGTTATTGACAAAACAATACTATCAACCGAACTCCGCTCAGAATCGTTTTTTCGTTAACAATGGTTAATCGTTGCTTACAGATGTACATTAAATTACCTATAACAGTGGCTGCACTCGTCACCATTATCCTAGGACAGCTTCTTAGTCTTTTAGCTACATACTACTAAATTTTACATTTAATATTTTTTTAGTAAATACAGCCTAAATGATAATGTAATTTATATTATTGTGATGATAATGCGGACTATGTGATATCGCCGTATCAGTTATAATTTTTTAAAAACAGGAATACCCACAACAAATTAGAAATGACAATAATAGCAGTATATCCCCTACTACCTTGTAAGAAGATAAAAATAAAACCAAAATTGTATTTACCTTATTCGTTGACAGAATCTATTTTTAAGAATCAAAATTTACTTTCATCATAATTTTCATGGAATTCCGGAAGGAGGGGGCGGTGATTGAACCCCCTATAACTCCTCCTCTCTTGTACGTGCACCTGTCGTGTACTACAACTGTTTTACGCAAGGGAATCCGTGCCATGAAATATTTGAAATTGACAATTTAAGTAAACACATTCGTTCGGCAAACAGCGCAATATTCTAAAACGGTTCATAATGTTATCATAATTATTTACCGAAGAATAACACGTCATATTTTAGTCGTTATTACATTCATAATAGGTCTAATTAAATATGTGTATCCAAATAGAATAATAAACGCATTATATTAGGTTCTAATGAAATGTACAGGATATATAAATTTATTTGCGATTTAAATAATCTAATACGACGTCTAAGCATAATATAATATTTGCATATTTCCATACAACATGAGGTATTTAATTTTAAACTTTTGACTCTGTGTATTTGTGAATTATTAAGTACCTACGCAAGTATGTTTTACTACATACACAATTGCTTTAGATTAAATTTAGACATTATATTTGATAAATACGCGTTATTATTTAGAGGGATCAACAAAATACGTTACTTTATGTATTTTAAACGGTACAAAATAAATTTAAAAAATATTGAAATAACAAAAACTTATTAATAACAAAAAATAAATAAAAATGTTTGCCATTGACAACCTTATTTTTAATCTTTCAATTTTGTTTTAACTTAAAGAACCGAGTTTTTTTCATTATCTCGAATATTAATGAGAATTTCAAAAAATGACCTCTCTAAAGAAAACCCAGAGAACATTTATTTTCATACAAGGTGCTATACTTGATAACGGAGTAAGCTTTCTGGTAGAAAAATAGTTCGCATAAAAAATAATAATAAACATCATTGCAAAACTAATATATTTCTCGCACCACTCAGAATCTAAAATACAAAATATGTATTTGAAAAGTAATTTTTAATTTTAAGTTAAATAGGAAAAATTATTAAAAACATCATTAATAAGTAAGCAACATTGTTACCGTAACAATAACATTATATATTATATTATATCATATTCATTGAATTATAATCTATATATATATATTTGATTTGATTTTTGTATTTTTAAATGATTTTTCTGAATTATTTACAGTATTTAAAAGATGATTAAGCTTTTCTTTAATTTGTATTAACTGTACGTCTATAGAATAGCGATTCTCAACCGTTGTTGTGTTGGTGACCCGAGATATTTACCCAATTGTTTACGTGACCTTTTTGAAAATAATTCTCAATGGGAGGTTACCTACTTCCCCCACTCAACTTAGTTGTTTAATTCCTACAACTACAAGCTACCAATTTCCTTTCATACATTTTAAAATTAATATACACGACTGAATGAGTAACGAGTATCTATTGTGAAATTCAAAATATTGATAATTGATACCAAAACAACCAAGAAATGTTATTGAATGATATTTTTAGGCATTGCATCACTTCGAAATAAAACTCCTCTTAAACCTGAACGAATATTATAATCGATTTTGAACTAGGTGTAACTAATGCGATAAATCGCGTTTCTAATGGAATATAGATTACCGTTTCTTTCATTTATGCCAGTCTGTATGGCAACAAATTCAACATCTCGGATCAGCGAAGTTATGTAAAGAAAACGGACAAATTTTGAAGAAGTATAAAATCATTACTTCATTGGCATTTATGCTTATAAACGACATTATAATGGAAATAAATAGGAATGATCATTGTCTACCGAGTTATTACCTCATTATTTCATAGTTTGACAGAGCTCACATTAATGGTAATAACGGTAATAATATTTTAACTTGTTGGACGTTATTTGAACAGATTTTTAACACGGCTTTTTAATATATTAACTTTTTATAAACGTTATTATTTAAATATTTTTTGTTAATTTTGAACTTGATTTACCTATGTATAATAACTTTTATAAATATTATAATAACATTGTATATGTAATAATAATAATAACAATAATAATAGTACAAAATACAAAGTTTTAATACTTTTATAATGAATATTGGTCTATATAATTACCGCAAATAACATTGGTGTAAAAATATATTTAACTAGGTATATTTATTATATATTTATAACTGCTATATGTATACAGGATTTAACTGGACTATTTGACATTTTTATATCGAAGTTACATGTTAAATATGTAAAACAGTCCAGTTACACTCTGTATAATAGTACGAAGTGTCCGCGTTCTGCGTTCTATCTTTTCAGCCGACCGTATACGAAGTGTCCGTGTTTTAAAAAATAGACAATGCGAAGTGACCGTTTACCAACAAATGCGGCTCAACGACTTATCAGATTTAATCATTTCCGTGAATGTCAACCGATAACGCATATCCATAGCATTGAAAGACCATAGTTCAAAATTATGAATTTATACTTGTTTATCGAGAAACGCGCATTCTGAAATGGAAACATGATAATTAACGGTTCAATCTTTTTGCGACCCATTCAAAATTATCCGCGACCCAGGATTGGATCACGACCCTTGGCCGGGATACGCTGCTATATGCAAATCTGAATCACATAAACTATTCTGACGAGTCGGACAAGAATAAATTAAACCAAGATTTAGTATTTTGTTCATAATTTCTGATGTTTTTGGACGGACGTCGAGAGGCATTCTATACAATTTGACATTCAGCCATAACGGAATTGTGAAGTTTATTTATATCTGATAGTTAAATGGGTCTTGATAAGTCTGATGTATCTATTAAATTCAAAAATATAGCTCGCATAGCGTACATGTAATGATAGTGAAATAAAGTCCCTATTTTCTATAACATCTGCAGATCCAGAGACGCCAAAGTCATCAATAATTTCAAATATAAAATCCAACTCTTCGTCGTAATTTTCATTTGATTGTACAGTTTAATATAATTAAAACAAAAATAAAAATAAATAAGAAAAAGAGTCTGTGTACTTTCTAAATTTACACAAGATGGCTGAATACCAAACTCTTTGAATGCCTTTATACAAAGTTTGAACTAACCATTGATATACAGTACAATATTGTTGAGACAAAATGTGTATCGAAGAAATGTTAAAACGGTGCTTACGAGCGCTCTCTCTACACAAATTCGATTATTGCATTTCAAAAAAAAAAAAAAAGAGTATAATAATAATAATACATTAAAAATGAATTTAATCGAAATACTGTCCATTCGTGATTATATATTACTAGAAAGAAGAAATTAAAAAGAATATTTTAGTGAAGATCGGCGATTGACGGTTCAAGAACTTCAAAAATGTTCGAATCCATTGTTCGTTCAATTTTCAATCTAGTTGGTTCATTGGGAAGGTCGATTTTGATTTCCCAAGCGGTTTTCATCGTAATAAATTGAAAACCAAAATGATTACGTCTTAATTTTCCTATCTTCTCAGCTTCCCAACTACAAAAGTGGCATGCCCTCCCCAGCAACACGTTAAAAATAAAATATACTTATAGTTTCATTCAAATCAATCCCCAATTCCTACGCGTTTCTACAATAAAATAAATAAATTGTGCGTAATGCGCATTATATAAGTAAATATTTACATCGTGTCCAAACTATCACGGTCTGTTAATTTTGTAATTCAGCAAATATTCTCATGATTTAGGATTAAGAAATCGGAATTTTTTAAGGTTTTATTCTATTGTTAAATGTTAATTAAAACATTTTTGTAATACAATGTATAAAAATCACACACAACTTTAGAACAGATTTGAATAATACGACAGTTAATAATACAATTTTTAATTACGCGTACGCCTACAACTGCTATAGTCACCAATATTTCATTATTGAAATGAACACCGTGCATATAAAAATAACCTCCCATTTTCGTCCAATTATTGATAGGTACACTAATATTAGTAAAAAAAAAAAAAAAAATATAAATAATTAAATCCGTAAAGTTGTCAATTTTTCATGTTTGTCTTTTTCCGCTTTTTCCAAATGATTATGAAAATTGCTTGGAAAATCAAAAAATAACCTGTTAAATAATACACCGACGTACAACAAAAAAAGCTTATTGTCGGTTTTTGATTCGAGCAAGATTGCTAGTAGAAAAATTGTTAATAAACACTAAAACAAAAAAAAAGTTCACATAATATTATTAAAAACGATTATACGTTTCATGTTTAGAATTGAGAATGAATAAATTCAAATTAAGAAATACAAATTAATTTGCGGCTCTTATTAAACTTTTGCGAAGTGATAACGTATTCGTTATGCAAATCCATGTATATCTATAGATTTTGTGTTAAACATTTGAATAAATTATTTTCTCGACTATGATTTCTTTTGAGTTTGTACTTATGATTTTCAATTTTGGTTTTTATTTATCGATGGCATTCTTTGTTATATTACATCGGCGGTATTTTGTTAAAATAGCGTCTATCAAATTTCACTTTTTTTCATTAAGTAAAAAAAAAAAAAAAAACACTAGGAAACAGTTTTTAATGATGTTTTTGATGGAAATCAATGAAATTACTTCTTATAATCAACCTAGTACACAAAGTATCATGCATTTAATGTGGTATACGCTCTTTAAACAAACCAGTGTCGATTTAATTATATTTTAAAAAGGCGCCTGGACATCTTTTAGTCGACATTGCTGACTTAATTTTTCTATACCTATTTAAAAACGCCCTTTTACCAGTTTATGTTCTGAGTCTTTTTTTTTTATTTTTGTACCAAAACGTTTTTTTTTGATTTTCAGTGATATACGCCCTTTTAACAAAACACCATCGATGTGATTGAAATTGAATAATTTTTAAAACTTCATGAAAAAGCAAAAATGTTAGAACGCGGTGGTTAAAAATTGTTTCCAAATAACGAATGAAACGACATATTTAGACATATTTTGTAGTTCTTTCCGGCCAATATTTTACACAATGGCCAAAATGTACGGTCGAAAAGTTGCATGTTTTCCAATATAATATCACGTAGCGTGGCGGTGGCTTGTGTTGATATCGTTGTGTAAGTGCTTACTTGATTATTCGTGTGAGCGCGACACTCTTCTCTGTGATAGTATGTAATCCATTTAAGTGGTTACACTCATTATCTACGGAAAATATAAATTCTTTTCGTGGTTTTCTTGATGAAAATTTAAGAAACAATCAGCATTGGAATTTTACATTAATCGTTTAACAGAAATCAAAAAAGTCACCACTGAAATGTGTTTAAACCTATAGTCCGTAATTTATAGAATTTTTAAAGTCAAAAGCAGGTAGACGAGTCACCCCCTCTTGTCAACTGGAATTGAACGATTACGAAATTCGCCCAACCTATAGTCGAATAAGAGCAACTAGGTTACAGTAACTAACACGCGAAAATGTTATTGGTATACAGTTTAATTACGTATATAACGCCAAACCACGACTATTAATGAGTATATTATGTTTTATTGAATCCATCATTTGTTTATATTAAATACATTATCAACGGTCAAAACATAATTACTAATTATGTTTTGAAATAATACTAATTAAGAATTAGTATTATTTCCATTTGGCTCCCACGGATAATAATATGTTTAATATTTTTGTAAAATAATATTTTTCATGTGGGTAATGGTTTAACTATGAAGAAACAGAGAATAACATTGGTATGGCAGGACAGGTCAGTAGGCTGATCTGGTGTTTTGAATTATTACTCGCTGAACTTATATTAAGAGAGGGGAAAGTGGATATTCACACGATGGATATTTCCTTAACAATGGCCTGTGTAGCATTATTGTTATTATATTTAAAAACGGTGTTCTCTAGAAACATTGTTTGTGTACATTTTATTTTAAATGCAGGCAAAATCATGTGTAAATTTATAAATTAATTTTTATTCGCGTTTGTAGCAATGCAATCAAACGTAGCTGAAACCTTTAGGAATGGTACCGCACTAGTCACCGGATGTACGGGAGTTTTAGGAAAACTACTAACAGAAAAATTACTGAGATCATGTCCTGTTAAAACTATTGCAATTATTGTGAGGAACAAGAAAGAATTTACTGCGGAACAAAGAGCTGAAAACATCTATAAAGAAACTGTGAGTAATTACTTTAAAGTGTGAGATTAGGGTTTGCGGATAATTATAAATGAATAAATATATTTAATAAATTAAAATTTACAGAACTCTCTTAAAACATAATAATACAACATTCGAATAGTTGAAAATCATACTCAACCCTTTCGAATTCAATAAAAAATCTTAAATTAGTTATGCTACAATTTTGATCGACCGGTACAATATATTTTAGAATTTTTATCCTAACATTTTTACAATAATATTGATTTTCTCATAATTTTACCAGGTAAACGTTTCCTCAGGTCCACCTCTTAGTCTAAAATACAAAATTAAATAAACATTTTCCGATTTTTATGCGGGTGTTCGTGCATTCAAAGATTTAATGAAATGTATGACATTTTGTTCAACAAACATTTCCATAAATTATTATCTTATTCTTATAGTAATCTATACAGTAATAAAAATAATAATAATAAAACGCTTAACTGAATAAAATGATTCAATAAAGTTCAAATACTATTTATATTTTTAAGATATTTGACTGTCTAAGGGAAAAAAAACCTAATTTTATGAACCACATCAAAGTTATCGATGGATATTTAGAGGGTCCGGATCTTGGAATATCGTCAACTGATCGTGAATGGATAATTGAAAATGTGAATTTCGTTTTTCACTGTGCAGCTACAGTAAGATTTAACGAGCCTCTTGAGAAGGCGATAAAAATAAACATTCAAGGTACAGAAAAACTATTGGCATTAGCAACTGAAATAAAAAATATTAAGGTAAGGAGTTCATAAATTATGAATGTCTATACTTTATAATCTAGACTTTTCAAACAAAATTTCTCAAAATAAAATTAGGTTAAGTTAGATTAGGTTAGATGGGCGTGTCATTCTGAAGCTTATAAAGCATTATTTTGTAATTATGAATAGTTAGATAGAAAAAAAACCCACAATATTATGGAGAACAAATTTAAAAAGAATGACTCTATATCTTACATTATTATGGAGTGATATGATGAAGAGAAGTAGTAGAATTTCAATTCAATTACAAAATAAACTTTTTGATAGATTTGAACCTGTCAAATTTCTGAAATTGTTGAAGAATTTTGTGTCAAGTTTTATGACAATAAAATCGCACAACTAATTCAACAAATTCAAAATATTTATAAGACATATTAGAATGAATATAAAAAAGAGGTCCTAGAATAATGAGGTCAGGTGCAGCCACTGGTATAGGTAATTTAATGTATATCTGTAAGTAAACGAGAAACCATTGTTAGCGAAAAAACGATTCTAAGCGCAATTCAGTTGATAGTGATGCTTTGTCAATAATACATATGCCATATTATGGTAAAAATAGACATTATATATTAACTTTAATAATATTTGTTTAATATTGTACCGATTTTTCCGTTTTTTTTAGTTTTCCCATGTGTTTCCTAGTTTTTCGTATTTAATGTAAAAACTCTTGGAAAAATCGAAAAATAATCTCTCTGAAGTACCTCTCCAGTCAGATTTCCTGTAAGAAAAAGTGCTATCATTGCAATTCGGAGCAAAATTACTGATAGAAAAGTTGTCTACAGAAAAAAAAATCGTAATATTTCACTAATACATTTTCTCGTTTTTTCTCCGTTTTTCACGATTTTTCCCATTTATCGGAAAAACTCCTTGAAAAATCAAAAAATGACCTCCTCAAGTTATCATGGAGATAGTTTCCAGAATTTCAGAAAATAAGCTATACTTGATACATTGGAGCAAGATTTTTGGTAGAAAAGTTTGCACAACAAATCGAGGAGTATTTTACAATTAAAATAGTTCGAGAACAAGGGATGATTTGGGTTTCTAGGTACACTCAAAATTAATTTATTTTTCCTTGTTTAGATAAAAAGAAAAAATGAAGGTTCGAACTCGTGAACCCTTGGATGATAATAGCTATGTATAACCATAAAGCTACAACAAACATACTTTAGAGAAGACAATATTTAGTTATTTAACATAACATATAATATAATAAAAAACTTAAAAATGGCAAAAATGTTTCAAAAGTTTGACCATGTCTAGAAAAAGCAAATATAAGTTTTCTGTCCGAAATTCAAGTTTCTACAAATATTTTTAACTGAATTACAACAAATAACAATATTGAAAAATAATAAAAGCATTATTTTTGTAAATTTCCCGTGTTTCTCACGTTTTATCCTGGTTTTTCTCAGATATTATGAAAACCGCTTGGAAAATCAAAAAAATGACCACCCAAAAGTACCATCTGGAAAACATTTACTTTCAGAAATGATGCCACGTGTTTATATCTGAGATATAAACATAGATTTTTGGTAGAATTCTATGAAGATTTATGGTAGAATTTTTGTACACTGTATATAAAAAAAAAATAATAATAAATAAAACCAATATATTCTCCGCTACATTCAGAATCTAAAAATAAGAAAAACAATTATTATCCTGATGATAGCAATAGTAATTTAATAGAAATTGTGTATAAAAGAAAAGACAAAATGAGAATTAAATCCCATTATATAATTATCGATACATTTGTTTTAGAACTAGAAAAAAAAATTTCTGTACAAAATTATATTTCTATACATTTTGATTTATTGCTGAATTAAGTTATCCGCTAAAGCAGATAGTAAAGTCAAAAAAGGCCAATGAACAAAACAAAATAAACAAAAATGTAATAATGCTATTTTTTTGAAGTTTAAGTTGTAAAGGGGCCCACTTAGAGACGAACCGGACGTGGGTCGTGGGAGGGGGGGGGGGTAAAATACCCACTCTCCTACTTATATATAACTTTTCCATCTAAATTTCAAATTTTTACAAATATTTTTAACTCTATGACAACAAAAAAACAAAATGGAAAATAATAAAATTATTTTTTTCGTAAATTTTCCCGTTTTATCGCAATTTTCCAGATTATTATGAAAACTGCTTGTAAAATCAAAAAAAGAACTTCTTAAAGTACCATCCAGATAAAATGTTCCTTCAATAAAGTTGCTACACTTAATATATCAGAGCAATAGTTTACAGGTGTAAAAAAAATTCAACCATTTATGTATCTTAATACGCATAATGTTGCAGGGTTTTGTGCACGTGTCAACTGCTTATTCTAATTTTTATTTGGACGAAATAAAAGAACAATTCTATCCTGTTCCAATCACAGCTAAAGATCTATATGATCTACTGGATATTGAAGACTCATCGATCAAGTATAGTTATTATATAATCATTATAATTATTATAATCTTTTTTGTTTTATAGTATTTATTTCATTATTTACATGCAAATAGAAATAATAGCATTTTAAGACGTTGTTCTAATACGTATTATTTCACAAAAGCAATTACAGAAAATTTAATATCAACCAATGACAACCGCTTGCCAATTTCAATATTTCGTCCGTCGATTAGTAAGTATAAAGTGTTGAGCGTGTCGTTCACACGAACATAAACATTCATTTTTATTAATTCATTGGAAGTATAAGTTTTTTTTTAATATCACCTGTTAGGTGATATTAATTCTCCTAATTTACTTTCTCAAATACACCTTAACTTTAAAGTTTCTTTCCGTCTCACACGTTCTTCCGTCATATTCAACATTCCTTTCTGGATAACTCCCCACGTATCCATTGGCCTTATTAGGTAAATTCCTCCTGGTTACAGAAACAATACAATATGTGGTTTCCATTAAAATGTGTAGATAATAAAAAATATAATGAGATACAAATAAAACGACTAAAAACCTTTTTTTCATAAATAATGTAATATAATTGAAAATACCAGAGTATAATAATTATGTTATACTCATATTATACCCACATTAATGTTTATTAAAAAATTCAAACAATAACCGTGTTTCAGTTGGATGCACACAATCGGAACCTTTTTCCGGTTGGGTAAAGAATCTAAACGCAGCAACCGGTGTAATCGTTAGCCACATCATTGGAATGACAACGTTTCCAATGAACAATAGTACATATAGGATTGACATAATTCCAATAGATTACACTGTAAATGCGTTAATAAGCGTTATGTGGGACACGGTTCAAAGGTAGAATAATAAATATAATACAATTTGATACTAAATGGATATTGATCCATTTAGTATGATAAATTATTATATTATTCAATTTTTATTTATCATAAATGTAATTTTATTAATTTTCAGATGCCAAGATTCGAGTCAAAAGTATACAGAACCAAAAATATTTAATTTCGTCTCTGGCGTTGAGAGCCCGTTAACATATGCCGATTTTTTTAATAACATTTTTAATTCTTATCGTGAAGCTCCTCCTTTAAGCGCCGTATGGTATTACTTATGTATATTTACTACAAATCCGCTGACTATTAAAGTTTTGAGATTTTTATTGCACACGGTACCTAACGCGTTCATGGATTTATATTTACTTGCGATCGGCAAAAAGCCAAAGTAGGTGATCTTTATCTTATCTAATGTTTCTTTTAGTATACAAACTATTTGTATTGTTCAAATGTATTTCAAACATAATGCCTATGTCAGTAATGTAAAAGAACCGTCGGGAAATCGAATAAAATGTTTATTATTAATAAACAATTGTTGACTATATGAAGTACATATTATATAATATTCGTTTTATAAGAATAAATGCGTGGGTAGAGAACGTATTGGTACTTGCTCCAATCATCAACTACAGGTGATTGTTATCTAGTAAGCGCATTCAAGAGGTAATTTTTGATTTTCCTTTAAGTTTTTTTAATAATTGAGTAAAGCGTAGGAAAAACGGGAAAATGAGCTCTACAACGTTTTCCGTTATTTTCGATTTTGTATTTTTGTTGTAATTTAGTTCAAAAAAAATAATAACTCGATTATCTATATTATCTATTATCAAATTATGCAACGAACGGTGATTTATTTATAAATGTATGCATGGTTCTTTGGGTTAGAAAAGATTAAAAGATTAAAAATATGATTTTTATTATTTAAATTCTTTTTAAACAATCACTGTTGCCATGGAAACATACATTGTAGTAATCATTTTATCATAATATGATATATATATTTTAATATTTTATTTATATCACCAGAGTAACCAATCGTCATAAATAATTAGATTTTCGTATCTAAAACACCAATAATCCCGTGTTAACCACTTTTTAGGGGAATAATTTTTCAATTCGAACCAGTAGTTCCTTCCCAGATGGTTTATTCTATTGTTCCGTTTCAATGATATTTGTTTTTATACGGGTTTATAATAAATTACAATTGTATATGCGTTGTATTTACCTTATCTATAATCGCATTTGTTTGCATTATCACCTTTATTTTCAAACATATTTATATTGCATAATATATAATAATGCGCAATCCTACACGAACACATCAGATAATAATAATCGATTTACATATTTTTATATTCTTTTAGAATACTAAAAATGTATGGAAAATTGGAATTATCGCACGATTTGTTGCGTTCGTTTGTAGTTAGAAATTGGACATTCCACAATAATAACACGAGAGAATTGTGGTCACTGTTGAGTCAGGAAGATCGCAAAACGTTTTGGTACAGCTTTGAAGAATTTGATTTTAAAGAATATATTAAAATTTATGTTCAAGCAGTGAGAAAATGTATACTAGACGAAGATCAAAGTAACATAAAAGAAGCTCTGGCCAAGACTCGAAGGTAAGATTACGCTTCCAGACTATTTTATGTTCAATTCAATAATATTTGTTTGATAATTTATAGATTATTCTGGCTGCATTATTTGTGTATCACTCTCCTTCTTTATTTCGTATCTCGTTTGTTCTGGAAATTCATAAAATTATGTATGTTATAATTCGCAAAAATATTAGCATAAACAGTCGGAGGAATTCATCGATGATTAGAGTCGGCCATCGATCCACAGCTAAATGCAATCATAATTATAACGAATACGGGTTACGAGTTACAATTATTTATAGAGTAAAAATAAAATCACTAAGAGTTATTGTTATAATCACAGCTTTTCAAAAACATTTATTAGTTATATATACGTATACAATATAAAATATATTGGTACAATGTGCGTAGCTCTATTATCAATAGTACCTACATTATAATAAACGAGAGCGCGTAAAAATCTGGAATGTAAAAACCTTAAATGTACAAATCTGGAACGTGCAATTCTTGAAAATACTAATCTTGAATCCAAGGTTTTACGGTTATCGAAATTTGTACCGTATAAACGTGGAATAAAAAAGTCCGGAACGTACAAATCTTGCTCTAATCATTTTTTTACAGCACTATTTCAGAAAAGAAATCTGACTGAAGAGATACATCAGGGAGGTGATTTTTATCAGTTTTCTTAATAAATGGGATTAACCGAAAAAAAAACGTAGGAAAAACGGGAACATATAAGAACTGCATTATTTTAAAATCGTAAATATAATGGCCTTTCAAAACAAGTACAACCGAACTCGCTCAGAATCGGTTTTCGTTAGTGATGATTAACCTTAAAGATATAGATAAAATTATATTTCCCCTCAACTCTCAACATTTTAAATTATAACAGTGGCACACCAACCATGCGAAGTTTGTCCGTACCTTTTTTCTGTTTGCATTTTTGATCTAGTGGAAGTCGTTTTTTTAATTTTTCAACCAGTTTCATAATAATTGGAAAAAAATTGAGGAAAATACAGGAATATTTTTACAGAATTTACTCATACGACTACTCATAGAATATTCTAGACTTGATAAATTGTTCAAACTATTTTTGAACTATTAATAGAAATTTTTTTATTTTTTGTAAGTACTAATAAGTATAATACCTACTATCTAGATAAAATTGTTCGATGAAACATAAATACTAATAACATTTAATACGAGGTTTATTATTAGTAGTAATAAGTGATAAAAAAAAGTTGAGAATAAATAGTTTAATGTACAAAGTCAATTTTTTTTATACGAGTTTTAAGATCAAACGTTGACGAAAAACGTAAAAATTACGACATTTCAAAACACGTGTAACTGAAATTTTATAATTTTCATTAGCGCTAAACCATTCAAACGCGCTTGCTCCATTTGATTTCTCAACCAATTTTTTAATCTAGTAAGTATTGAAAAGCAAGAAAATAATTATAAATCAAAAACAAAACTATGTACAAAGCTTAAAAAAAAGGTAAATTTTAAGTTAAAACCTTACCCTTGTAGATTTTTTCCGTGCCGTTTTTTGTCGATTACCCTACGTACCTACTATAGGTAATAATGAAAAAATAGCTGATTATCTCAAAAACAGTGCATCCGGAGATTGGTTCTAAAATCGAGATTTACTGATTATGGAATTGTAATCCGGATTCCGGATCAACGCATTGCTATTAGCAATCCGTCGTTTCATCAGATTTCAGAGGAAGAAAATAGAAACGTTTAACGAGGAACACGCGCGAGTATTTTGGTAGGCATCGTTGCGGTATTAAAATATGGCGGGACCCGATAAAAAACGCTATCGCGGTAAACGAAATATTATATATCTTCTTTGGAGAACGCGGTAGCACAGGTTTCTTATCGCGTACGACCATAGACCAATAAACACATCAGGTCCATGCGCACAACCGTGGTGTATTTTGTTTTTTTTGTCAAATTTATTCATAATATTGTTTACTCATCGTTATTTACGTGCGATTGTGTGACGTCCGATACTCCGGCAGTGTTGGAACTAAGCACCCAACTGTCCACCGTAAACAATATCCGAATCACCCACGACGTGCCTACTACGCGTAAAAAGGTCTGCAGGTCCGTGAAAAACGCCGTCGAGTTATTTGTTACATTACCGTGTTCGTCTCGTACGGCGGTACCGCATCATCGTCATGTTCGTTCAAGTGTCGGAGACCAACGACGCCGACCAGGAGGTAGTGGACTTGCCTTTGGAAAAAGACGGTACCCTGCTGCTGTCCACCCTGAACGCCCAGTATCCGGACGCTTGCGGTCTGAAATACGTAGCGCCGGACAACGGTCGTACGCGGGCACTGCGGCTCGCCGATAATAAACTTCATCCGCCCAGCGACGACGGGTGGGGCGAAATAGTGTACTTTTGTGCGTTCAACAAGGGTAAATTTTTGTTATGCACCGTAATAATAGTGCCTGCGTACTTATATTATGTACATACGATATGCATGGTATTATTTTGAAGAAAAAAAAAAATCATATCCCCTGCTAATCGCGATCGTCTTTCCGGACGACCGCGACTTTCACAATATTGATCGTTTTCCGTTACAGGACTGTGTAGTTAATGGTAAAATTACCACCCAACCCCGATTGGATGCCGCTAATCCCGTATTAATAATATGACTATTAATCATTTGTATTTTAAATAGATTCATTGGTGTTTTTAGTTATTTAACGCAAGTAAGGATTTTTTAATACCTATTAAAAAGACATTTGGGTTAAACAATAATAACATTGTTAACAGTCGATCTCGCCCACGAGAATATTTCCATGTAAACGTCTTTTAATGTTCAAATTATCATGTTCGGTAAACAAGTTTGATGTGTTTACTGTTAAATAGATCAATGTGACATAATATGATTACCTGTACATTTATGCCATTTTTTAATGTTGAGGTTGATAAAGTTCAATGAAAATGTATGTGTGTTCAGATAATGGACAGAAAAGGAAATTGAACGAAGAATTTGAAAGTGATGTTGAGCGAGCAACCAAGGAACCCAAGTCTGAGGCAACATCAACTGCGTGGAAGAATCGTGATTTACTTGTGCTCGGGTTACCATGGAAAACAACTGATGAGGATTTAGAAAGTTACTTTAGTAAATACGGTGAACTGCGCATGGCACAAGTTAGTTGACACAAATACAAAACAGAAAAAGCGTTTGTAAATTAGGACATGTATGAATGTGATATAATGTTTTTTCTTAATATTTGGTTTATGAAAATATTATTTTAGAGTTTGCCTTTTATCTTGCACACCTTTATTTATTGTATAACTTAATTAAATACTTTTATTTCAAATTAATATAAAACTTTGTTTTTAAAAAAAAAACGTAGATTAAAAAAACAAGTGATGGTAGATCAAGAGGTTTTGGATTCATACGATTCAAGGACCAAGAATCACAAGTGCGTTCAATGTTAGATTCTCATGTGATAAATGGAAGACGGTGTGAAATTAAGATACCCAACATCAAGGTATTTATAATTAATTAGTGTAAATATATATAAAATTATATTTGTACTTTGTACTAATTGCAAAAGATTGAATTTATTAAAGCAACATTTATCATTCTGCATTATTAAAAAAAATCAATTATACATTTATAATGAAATTTAAAATGTTTCAGAAAATTTAAAAACCATAATTTACATTCTTAAATAATTAATACATATTATTTTCTTTCATAATTCAAATTTAAACACAATAAATACTAAACATTAAATAGTATTAAATTATTCATCAGTAACAAAATCTATTAATCATTTAATCATTAGCATTATTAAATATTTAAAACAATTTATTTCCTATAGTTTTAAACTGAAAATCTAAAAATGTACTTCTATAAAATAATGATACCAATGAAATTTCAACTATTTATAAAATATGCCTAGGTATTTAATTTTTTATATTTTATACTAATAAAACCTAATTTTATTTAGGATGCTTTTATTAATGAAGCACCAAAAAAAATATTTGTTGGCCAACTGACTGAAAATGTTACACAAGAAGATCTAGAAGAACATTTTAAGACATTTGGAGAAATAGTAGAAGTATTTGTTCCTCGGCCTTTTAAAGGCATTGCTTTTGTATCATTTACAACATCTGAAGCAGCACTAGCTGCCCTTGACCAAGATCATACCATTAAAGAGATTCGTCTCAGTGTATCTGTTGCTATGCCTAAAGAGAAAGATACTAGATCACGTCGTCATGAAGGTGGTGGAAATTCCTATAGTAGTCGTATGAGAGGAAGTCGAAATTCCTATAATAATCGTGACCATTATTATGACAATGGAGGTTGGGATGATTATGATCGTCCCAGCTATTCAGATCGTAGAAATAATCGCTATGATAGACAACTGTATGACAGTGGCAGGTATTTCAACTCGGGACAAATGTGGAGGAAAAATGAGTATTCTGATTCACTCGTATCTCAGTCTAAAGACAATAATGGTCAGTTAGATCCAGATTTAGTTGCTGCTGTAGTTGAAAAGACTGTTAGAGGTGTTATTGGAAACATGAGTAAATATGATTGATAAGAAATATTAATTTATCTTATATATGTTGATGAATCAAATGTAAATTTTAATTTCCCTTACATAATTATATTGAAATTGCAATGTACTTATTTAGACTATGTTTTTTTCAGTTTTCACAAAATTAATAAAATGATGTTCTTGCTTATTATTAATGTGGTTATAAAAATTGTATAAAATAATTAAAACTTAGCTGTACTGAATATTGTATTTATTAATACATATAATTATTAACTATTTAAGACAATTATTGTAGGCTGACTAAATAAAACATTGTACTTAAGTAATTCATTTAAAAAATTGTGTTAACTGAGATAATAAAAATTTAATAAGTAGGTCATAAAAAAAAATTACTTTTACTTAATCCATTAAACATAAAATGATAAGAGTTAGAAATTAAATAATGTATTAAATTGTAATTGATTACCCTTTACCCAAAAATAGTCTATAGTTTCATTGAACACAAAAATGTAACATTATTTTACTAAAATAATTATTAATGTTGGCCAACAATATTGATAATTTGATACAATATCAATATTGTAATTTTTTTTTTTATATTTACTCAATATCGGTAATGAAGGAGAATTATTAAAACTATTGTGATATCGCTATAGAAATATTTTTGTATTTAATTATTAAAAAAAAACTGTGTGAAATATAGTTGTGACAGGGTTTTTACACGAGTAAATTAATAATAATTAGATTATAAAGAAATACTTGTTACATTTATAACCCAGTACTACAACAACACAATTATATGTGTAAAAGAAACAATCCAAATTATCATCTAAAAGTAATCGTGTTGCTAAGAAATCAACAATAGATTTTTTGAATTTTTCGAACATATCTGTATTTGATCATGTGGTTTCCAGTAAATAAACAATATTTTTATTGTGTGTGTATTACTATTTACATTTTGCACATCAGTATTAAATTTGGATATTGTGATACGATATGGATGAGTAAAGGAGCAATATTGATAACTGCAAATATATATTGTTGGCCAAACACCATTATTATTGTGATTAATTTTGCTGTAACATAATTACATAGAAATTATATTCTTTCAGATCGGTTATGAAGAATTATATGAAGATAAATATATTTTATATACCTAATAATATAATATTTAAAAAAAAAAAATATATTAATTTCTATTTACGATATATTAACGGGGGTCTAACAATTCAAAAGTATAAATTTACTAATTAATAAAATGGTGAATCACTCCAGTAGTTAAATAAAATAAGACTTTAATGTAAGGAACCATACTATAAGTACCAATTGTATTGATTTTTTAATTAAAATATGAGCGTTTCAATATTGTAATTTTTTTTTTTTTTCTATTAATATGAATTAATTTGATGTATTTAATTTGTACTCCTATTGACTATACTGAACACACAATGATGAAATTTAATTTATTTAAAAAAAATCATCGTAAACTTGGAATCACAGTTAAAGATAATAATATTGTAATTATTATAATTAGTTATACAATGTATATTATGATGTATGTAATTAATGTCTTGCAAATTGTTTCAAATTATTTTAATAAATTTAAATGTCCACTGTGTTTCGAAATAATAAATTAACAATTTTTATACAGTGCAGCGTCAATGATGACACTTCTGTTTGCCGGTTGGTGAAACCGAGTTTGGTTTAGACAGATGGATTGCGAACGTATCGAGGTTGGGAACTCCGAGTTCCGTAGGCATGCCGATAATCATCTCCTTAGATATACGTCTGAAAGACGCGATCATAAATCTTTAATTGTGCATAACTGATAACAATGTGATTAACAACTGGATCGACGAGCAGTGTAAAATATGAACCCGAGAGTAGTGTACACCGGCTCTTTTGAGCCGTATGCGTCCGTCGGGCATTACAACCGGTCTGTTTATAAAAAAAAATTTTACTTTTACCAAAAAAAAAAGACCTATAGAATTATTATAGCGTCGTGTAAACTGTAAACCGCATCTATTTGTTTTGCATAAACACTTTTGATAACGAATTCGACCGTTTTAACCATAACGCAGAGGTGTACTAACGTCTGGTATGTACGGTGTGCCGGCAAAAAGTTAAAATCCAATCTACTGATTAGTCGCAGTATCGTAGCTACAATCGAGTATCGTATTATGTCGTCATTCCGTAGGTAAATACCTAGAATTTGAAACGTATGCGATCGATATGGTTTTATAAATACGCCGTTGATACAGTTTGTAAGCTGGAAGTTATGTTTTAGTCGGTGTTTCAAAAACGGACGGTGGACCATTCAGACACTCAAAATATAATTGGGAAAAGTTGTAGACGAAAAGACCACAAGTAACAATAAGTAAATATTTTGCATGTTTTCTTTTTTTTGTTAGTCGCGTAAAATAAAAAAAACTAATAATACAATAATCAAAAAATTTAAAATAATCTAAACTTCACTGATACTCGCCGTTGATTTTTAGTTTATAAAATAAATATAATACTATGTAACAAGGGTGGCCAAACCGCGGCTCGCATAATATCGTAATGTTTTAATACGAATTAATGTACTTGAAAAAGTACAATGTTTTATTAAATTACAGCGTATAGAAAAAAATAAAGCGTACTTGATATAATTTGCAATTATTGATTATTCTCTTTCTTTAAGTACGGTAAATGGTTTAAATTATTTATTCTTAAGTCTCTTTGAAAAAGTTTAAGCTTATTTTGGAAACTAAAAATGTCTTGTACTAGGTTATTTATGTTTTTTGTTAAACATACCCCACCGGTGTATGGGCGCTTTGCTCGAACAATATTAAACGCCATACAAAAACTCGCTTCAGTAGTTTTATCGGTTTCTTTGGAAAATACCGATATAACATTGGTTTTGTTTATTTAATTGTAATTTCATTGTGCTTAATTTATTTTTTCTCGAATCAGAAGAACCAGTAGGAAATTCGTTACCAAACGAACTGTGATTTGTATCATAATGGCTTTTTAAGTTACTGACCTTGAATTGTGATGGTTGGGATTGACAGATGAGACAAAATGGTTTACTGTTTCGTTCTGTGAAAAAGAACTCTTCTTCCCATTGTAATTTAAATTCTCTATGTTCATCATACTTGCGTTTCTTAGACATGATAATTATTTTATTAATGTTATGTCGTTACACGCACGACGTCGGAACAGCACTATGAAGACATTGTCCATTGTCCACGTGTGTCTGTGTCTTTATGATATTTATGAAGATAAAATTTAATTTGACATTATTGTACAATTATTGTTATCGTATTCTCCACATTTAATAATTCATCCGTTCGAGAAACGGACAACGTTTGCGTCCGTTTCACGAAACGGAACTGAGGTTGCTCCGATTCGCGTGACGGACACGATATGGATAACGTTTCGCGAAGTGGATACTTAAACTTTACGCACAACGGAACTTGTTCCGTCATTTGGATGTCCATAACGCGAAATAATTAACTATTATTATTATTATTATTATTATTTATTTAAACCTCATAATGTATACCAAGGGTTTTTGGTCGGCGTGACAATATTCTTATCGGTCGACAAGAATTTATGGACGGAACTTTGTCAAGTGGAGACCGTTTTTCAACCGTGTCGAATAAGGCAGATGACGTTTCTAAATTAATATATATTTAATTTATTTTCTATGTGTTCTAAAATCAACAAACTCCAAACTCATTAAAAAGATTCTGGATGAATACGAAATTTATAGAAATGGATCCAACCGAACGGAAGAATAATACCTTTTTACCTGGCGCATTCGAATTGCGTCCATAAATTGTGTTTAGTCCGGGTAGTATTTTTAATAATATCTTCGTATTCTACATCCTCTCTTTGTTTGTTTATTAAATTTGATCTTTGCATCTTAATACAAATATCAGTTTGAACATTTCTGTCATGAATAACATGAACAAAATTGGTTTCCAACAATAAATTGTAAGGTGACATTTACTAACTTATAACAAGGTATCGCTAATCGATATTAACGGGTTTATTATCAAACGTGTAGAAATAGAATAACAGTTATTCTTGCGGACGCAACTTGGAAAAGTTGCCGAAAAACCGGGGACGCAATTCGGTCGTCGTCACGTATATTTTCGTTTTTAGGGACGCAATTTGTATGCAGCGCTTTTACCGAACCTGAAAGAAGTTAATTGACACGTTGCATATTACATTATAACGATTTTAACGCGAAAAGAGGCGTAAAACTCACGGAACAGTATAACAATAAGTTCACCAAAAATAAAAACTAAAAGGAATTTATATTACAAGTCGGTAAAAAGACTGTTTTACAGTTCCTAAATAAAAATATTTAATGTTTTTTGATGTATTCTAATCGTCTTTAATTGTCTCGGGTTGTTCAAAAATAAAAAAAAAACCTATCCAGGATACTCGAAACAATTATCCATTTTTATTGTAAACAAATTCAAGTTTAAATAAAAAAAAACCAGCAAATTCATTTTTTTTCCAATGAGATAATATAAAAGTGATATAATATATAATAATAAAACCATTATCCACTAATATATCAATATAAACCCTAGTGTAACATTAAATCATTCGTTCCAGTCAATTTTTTTATTAATAACATTTTATTTAGGAAATTAAATTTTATATCACTTTTACATTAAACATTGTTTCTTATCTTCAGTCATTTGACAAATATAATTAAATAACCTTCAAAAAATCAGTTTTGCTATATACGTGAAATATTTTGTATTTTATAATTTTTCATGGGAAAAACAGATTTTACACAGTAAATTGTAATAATAATAAATTATAGATATATTAAGAAGAGCTAACAAAAAGGTCTTATGATCGTAAGTTTATGATCAGTGATATAGTTATTGAACTATTAGCGAAAAACCATAAAACTACCTTATTTCCTCAATTTCAACCCTCGCGGGGCACAGAAAAAGGGTGAGTTATCATGAACAAATTTCACACAGATTACTTTTACACAGTACTGAAAATATAGGGGGGGGGGTCGGTCCCTAAAAATAATAATGTTCAAAAATAAGGACCATCCTACTACATAGTCAATGTATACAGCTACGGGGGGCGATAATATGAAACAGTAACAACACTTTTTAAAATCCATACAAATCATCATACACATAATGAATAAAAAAATACATTTATTTATAATATATACTATTATCAACTTGTTTAACATTACAAAAATAGGCACATAATTCTTCAGAGTATATAATATATCTACATAAAATTCAGAGATAATATAATAATATTATAAACATGTATATTTGGGCACAAACTTAGTAAAATAGTATTAAACATTATATTATTATTGGTAGCTGTGTTGGAGGTCGTCACAAAATTTGGAATATAATACTATCATTGATTATACAATAGTCAGATAGACCATGCTACAGGAATATTTGGCTAATAATCGTAGAATTCAGCCAATGTGGAACGCTAAAGCCGTTTGTAATGGAACCAATAGCAATGAGTTTAATGGCCGATGAGGCTTCGTCCTACCGATGATAGCTAAATATTTATATTGCATTAGCTATCTATTGAATAATCAATGATATAATATAGTAATAATATAAGCTTAATTAAAGGTCTTGCGATCAGATTTCTTTTTAAAATAAAACAAACATAGCAGGATTCAACACTCACATTTACATACAATTTTACAAGGACTTAAATTTACATTATAATTGTATTATTTTATATGTGACACAATCGTTATAATTTATAGGTGTAATAAAGAACAAACAGTCTTAATATTATTAAATGAGTTTAAATTGTAGAGTTAGTAAAACATATTATTATAATATTCGCTCAAAAATTAAAAAAATAATAATAATTTTTTTCGACTGAATATTTCCAAAGCTCGTCTTCTTTTAAAAAAAATTATATATATATATACATACATACTTATTATTATTGCTATGTTAATTTATTTTTTAATCACTCGATGAACAATTATTGTATTACAAGTTTAAATTTAACACGTAGAAGAAATACAGTTTTAATATAATAAAATAATATTCCAACTTTACAGTTGAGCAAATTTAACTAAACATATTATGTAATAAAATAATTAGACACCATTGTGTACCTATATTATGTATAAAACGTACAATTGTACAAAATTATACAATTTCACATACGCTTTCCTAACATATCGGCTGAAAGAGTTTATCAAACAAAAAACTCTTGTGCGATGATCTTACAATATTAATTTTTGTCCATGTTATTATAAACCTTATATTATTATTTACAGTGTAGTCATCATAATAAAAATAACATTACATATATATATATACATAATCATATGTGTATTTATTTATTATGTATGTATGTATGTATGTATTGGTAGGTGTATAAATATTCTGGAAGCACAAAAAATAAATTTTATTCCAACAAATTCACCTGTGCTATAAATTATTGATATATTGGTTACCGCGGCATACTCGCTTCCGTATGGCGCTCCACTCCAGGTGGATGAATACGCACGTAGCGAGCACTTAAGTACGATTGTCATATGAAATTCCTACAATATATGCATACATATACATACATACATACATAAATACATAGAAAATATATATATAAATATAATATATTGTTACCTATATTAGAATAATAATAAAAAAAAAAAAAAATACACACTAATAATATTATAAAACTTAATACTGTCAACAAGATAAATAAAACGTTTCCGAGCTCACAATCAACATAATATTATTATTATTATTATTCAACAAAATAAGGACGGTTAAAAATATTGCTTACGTTACTTTTTGTTTTTGTTTTTTTGTTTTTTTAAGGCACTATCGTCATTTCGATCGCTATGAAAAATCTCATAACGTTTTATAATATTATTATTATAATAATTAAAAACATAAATAATTATGTCATTGCGGTAATTCAATTACATATATTATAAGTGTATATTTTTAGAAAAAATATACAATAAGATGCGTAAAAAAAAAAAAAAAAAAATCGTACCCTGTAAATAATCGATTTTGGCAGTGTACAGAAAAAAAAAACCACCTATTTGTAGTTTTATCATCTCGGCGCTAACGGCCGAAATTGACTAATTAATTCGGTTAAATGCTCAAATAATAGTGTAGTTACACTATTATTATTATTATTATTATTATTATTATTATTATGATAATATAATAAAGAGGGGAGGGGGAGGGGGAGGAGGAGGAGGCGGTGGTGGTTGGTTACACAATATACACGAGCCTGTGTCACGCTATACTTGTACACGATTTTCGATTGTTTGATTCGAGGAGTGTTTTTTTTCATTCGCGGATTTCCGTACGAATCGCCGAGAGTTTTTTGCATGGGGTCTCGGATACAAAAAAAAAAAAAAAATAATAATAATAATAATAATAAAAATATCCTACATAAACTCAAATCGTACAATTCGGAACCGGTTATGAATTTCATTTGCAGTGCGTATTCGCACACGTTGTCCAATATTTCTTAGACTAGGTTAATGTGGCAAACATAATATCTCGCGTACGTATTACAGACATATACACACATACGCACGCACGCAAGCACGCACTCACACACACATGCTATAATATCATAATATACGTAAAAATGTAACTTCGTCATATATACGAAATTAAAATATAGAAAAAAAAAATTACTCTTTTTATATATACATATATATATATAGATATATATATATATACATATATGTAAAAAAAAATATATATATTTATATAAGAGACTTTTTTTTTAGAGCCAAGTCAATATCGATCCCGGCTTGTTGTTTGGGTCGATCAACGATTGTACTTCGTCCAGTATGTCGCTGCTAAAATCGTCCCCTAACTAGAAAAAAAAAAAAAAAAAACCGAAAAAATACATTAAACGATGCGATACGTGCCGCAACGGGTGGACGTAGGCTATTGCCGTGTTTATTTACTTGAAGCGAAGGGACCAAGTCGTCGGTGACGTCCAACGTGGCCATTTCCTGCGAGTCGACTACCGACATGTCCGACGGACCCGGATTATCGCCTTCTGCGCGTACAAAAGAAAAAAAAAAAGAAAAAAAAAATATACCGTTAGGTTCGGGTTACAACAATACAACGTGTTACTTATTGTATATTTTATATTATACGCCATTCGCGTACCTATCGTCTATTATTGTTATTATTGTATAGACAGGTACTCGGCATTATTATACAATACAATATTTAGAGGTCTGCCACGGTCAATAACGTAATATACCGACATACGCGTTACAGGTGCTTGTGCTACACGGCGGCGTAGCCGGGGAGGGGGCTGGGGAGGAGGGCTAAGGGGGTAATAGCCGCTCGGCGAGGGTCGTCCGTGTTTACGCGCGTATGATGTTTTAGGATTCGAGCGATGACCGTAACCAGGTTTTCGGGTTGTTTCCAGGTGTATTATTCAAACGCCGCGCGCTGTGCCGCCACACAAATGACGTTCCGCCCCCGACGCAAACTTAAACGCGGAATAATCCGTCGGCGGATTGACACGGAAATTGAAAATTTAAACACCGACATTTAATTTGACTATTACTCCGTACTACAGTAGTTTATGGAATTATTTTAATACAGATCGCCATTTGAAAATCAAAAGTAAACGGTCGTTTCACTCCAAAAAAAATTAGGGTGACGAAAAAATAACACAGATGTAAAATTGCAGAGCTGCTTGTTTCTACAATTTTCTATAAAACAAATTTCGAAAAACGTTAATAGTTTCCGATATTATGAGTATCTTATGATAGATCGATCGCCCTGTATATAAGAAGGGTGATGCAATAATATTATATTATATAGCGATTTCACAAGATGAGTCAAGACATTGTATACATATACCGTCGGCCATAGAATCAAACGAATGTACCGATAACGAATTTGTAAATTTTGTTTGCATTTTGTAGATACGCTCTTCTGATTCAAAGCCGACAAATGTATTATTCTCGTTTCATTACTACGTTTTTTTTTTCCTATCAATTTTTGTTTAAAACATTACATCGATGACATCATTTTTCTAAATTTTTAGGAATTGTCCAACCCCATCCGACTTACGTACGCCCGCGATTCAAACAAAAATGTATTTAGCCACCTAGCCCATTAGAAATCCTGGCTACGCATTTGAGGTGCTATTATTATATTAATAGACAGATAAGAATTTTTTTCGGGAAACTGTTCGATTGTATTAATTTTACCTGAAGTGCAGTCCATGTTGTCGTCCATATTGGACGACAAAAAGTCTTCGGGTGTGTGGGGCAGCGAGTAATTGTTGCCCAAGCCCAAACCGCTGTCAGCCGATTCTTGTCGCGAATGATCGACGTTACTGCTGCTGCACGATAGGAACGGATCGAGATCGTTTGTCGTTTGTCCAGAGCGCACCATTAGTTCTTGCTGTATATGATACACACACACACAACACGGTATAATAAAACAGTAAGCAGATACAAGTTATCAGTATTGGTAATAACTCAGTGGTTAAAGTGGGGCAAGAGGGGGGGGATAACAAAGTAATATTATCCGTCGTCATTAATTTAAATCTTCGAATTCCGGGTGTGAGGACGCTTTAGTTATTGTCGCCGAGGAATTTTTAATGACATTTTAAAACTCGCATCGGTTGTGCTACAAATACATTTTTTTCGTATCTGTTGAACGATAAACGTAATCAGTTTCAAATTGTATTCAATTTTTACCGAACAGGCATACGTGTTCGATAATATTTTTGGGGCAGTGCAGCGGTTCATTTTAAAACCCCGTTTGCGCGTTGTTTTTTTTTTTCAAAAAGAATGTGTGGGAAAAAAATGCCTTTTGGAAATCCTATATTTCCATAATGGATTTCTTGAAATTCGATTGGGTTCAGTTAATTCTTGGAAACACTCCTACATTTTTAACGAATATAAATTTCCCTTTCGAAGTTTTTTCCCATTTTAACCACTGCATATATACATGTAATATACGCGTTACTTCGCGCGGCAAACTTACCTGGCGGATGATTTCTTGTTGGCGTTGCTTTAAACGTTCGCGTTCCATCTGGAGCGAATGTAACCTGAGCTTTTGCTGGGTGACCTGTAGCGACTGCGACAGACAGGAAGCGCCGCCACCGTTCAACAGCCACGACGCCGAACCGGAAGGCAACACAGCACCAGACGTCGGAGCCCTTTGCAAATGCGCGGCTATAATAACACGACACAGAACACCAGTTTGTTAAGATTATCTTATATTGTGCACGTGCGCCATTCATATTATTTATACTCACGTAATCTCGGATCGAACCATGACGTGGTCCTTGCCAAGTGGTTTATGAAATAAGTCTCGCCGTCCACGGTGAGGGCCTGTTCCCATCCGTCGGGTAACGGTCCCACGGCCACGGTTTTGTTCGCTCCTAGAAAACGAACTTGAATTTAACAAAAAAGCAAAAAAGAAAGACATACTTCGCACGATAAATGGGCCACTGACATAGGTGAGACTTTTGGAAGGACTGAGGGGGCTATTTAATATATATTTTTACGCAAAGATTATCATTGTTAACGAAAAACGATTCTGACCGAAGTTCGGTTATACGTGTTTTAAAAGGTCGTAATATTTACGATTTCCGTCAAAATGTGAAAATAAAATTCTATTGCTTTTCAGATAAAATGCTACACTTGAAAATCGGAGTAACATTCCAGGTAGAATTTTTGTGCACAGTATATATATATACATATACATAAAAACATAAAAATATACAACAAACAAACATAATATCATTGTACACAACATAGAACATTCCTCGCTTCGCCCAGAATCCAAACAAATCCATTACGGGGGTACGCCGAACCCGGTGGTATTTCGTGGGTCGCCTCAGGAACGACGGAGGCGTATACCCTTGCGCATCGCATGTACTACGTGACTCAATGCACGCGAACGACCGCGTCCGATTGGCCCAACGCCACAACGCGCGCACGTATTACTTGTATATTATTATTATTGTATTATTTTTTTTTTCTACGAAAAATACGGGTAAAAAAACTCGCCTTGAAGTGTCGAATGAATGTGTGGCGGCGAGTTCGTAGGAGTGCTGGTGGCGTTTGTGCTCGATCCGCTGTCGTTACCGGGGCTCAGCAATTGTTCCGCGCTGCGCTGGTGTTGGTTCGCCGCCTGAGCGGCCAAGCTCTTTCTCGGGTCTTCCCATTGAGTCGTTCTGGTGAGGTGACTGCAAACGGAAAAACGAAATCGACGTTTATAAAACACATTCTGAGCAGATACGTCACATAATATTATTCATAGTAATAATGTACGATGTAATTTAGTCGTCGGCTACATATTCGGGCGGATGTTTTACACTGCAACCAGGCGCGTAGCCCAGGAGGGAGGATTTAGAACCTCACGAAACCCCTCTCCCCCTCGACAATTTAAGGTAATCGCCGAAAAATCGGATTATTGGTAAAGTCGGCGATAAATTTTAACTCAACCCGTTCGAAAAAAACCTGGCTATACGCGTCTGACTGCAACGATTCCTCGTAGGATTTCGAGCGCATTGCTAATTATTAATTTTTTTTTCCAATCATAATGCAATTTGTCGAATAGATTAAAAACAATACGAAAGTTTCCGAATTACATATTCGTATACAGACTATTCGGAAGACGTGTCCGTCACTACGTAAAATCCTCCGAGAAAATAGTCGGATCGCGATTACAAGTTATTCCATTTAAGCGGGTACGCTCATTATCTCGGCAAGTACTTTTTTCGGAATTTAAACACCGACGTTTATTTCAACCAATACCTACATCGATTTTAATGGTATTTTTACAAAGGTTGTCGGAATCAAAATCGGGCTGCAGAGGTTTTACTCCTGAAAATAAGGTCGACAACAAAAATAACATAAACGTAACAAAATTGTCAAGCTGCTTATGTTTCTAAAATGTTCTATAAAACGAATTCCGAAAAAAGTCAATTACCTTCTGAGATAACGAACGTACCCACGGAACACCGTGTATACGTATACCGATCGAAAAACCATTTTCAACCGTATTATCGTTATTCAATAGACATTACAGCACGGATATTTTCCCGAATCCCCGATTAACGCGGGCCCGAGAATCGGCGCATTGAGCCTCTCAATCTCTCTCTCTCTATCTCTGTGTAATACAGTTCACGTGCTGCACGTATTACGCACAATATCTATAGGTACGCACAGTAATTGTTAATTATTTTATTCCGCAATCGCACTCTTATTGGATCGCAACATTATTATCTGCCGGTAGAATTTCGCGTATTATAATATTATTTACATTTTACTTAACAATAATTATCATGAGATCACTGCGTTCCGCGACCGAGACTATAGTTCACTCTCGAGACTTCACGTGCAATGCAATGTAGGCGCGCGATGCATTAGATACAACCGCACCGAGTCCGTATATGTATTTTATCGAAATCGAGTGCAGATTGCGTTAAGTAAACATTATAACGACACTATAACATTATAAAGCTATAGACTACGATTGATTTGTTTTTTTTTTTTTTTATTATTATTAAATTAATTATTTATTCGATTCGAACGATGTATAATAATATACTTGACCGAGCGGTTAGTCATCGTCTAAAGCCGCTGGTGTTTGGTTAGCAAACACGCAGGCAAAAGTCCCCAACCGCCTTTGCGTG